TTGTGTATTGTGCATTTACCATCAGCACATTGTGCTCCCTGGGCAGTTGTGGATCATGTGAAAGAGCCCAGATCCACATACACTGTTAATTAGTGCTTTGAAAATTTACTTTTGAAATCCTTGCGTTTGCCGTGGTCAGCCTGTACAGAAGGTAAATACAAGCTGCTAAACGCGCCCAGTCAAGTTTAATTGACTTTCCCATTGAGAGACACAAGAGCCCGTACGTTCCGCTAAAGCTGCCGGTGGAGTCGCCTTCGCGTTGACCTGTGGTTTCGCGAGGTGAAGTGTGAGCAGATCGTCACTCGTCAAATTCCGACGTTTAACTGAAGCCCAACAGTGACGTACGTCGTTCATCACACATAATTTGAACAAATTCACGTTCAAGTTCTTGATTTATAAAAGTGTTGCGTTCAGTTCAAAGTTCACTGAAAAATGAACGTGTTCAATGAACGCGTTCTTTTGAACTCGTTCATGCACAACACTGGTAAACAAAAAATCTACAGAGTTAAATTGTGCAGTGTGGGTTCATGCAGTTATACAAGGCACATCAACATACATTGTACATGTAAAGAATTCCCAATATATTCATAAATAAATAAATGGTTTGCATTTTTGTAGTAGGTAGATCATTTTGACTTGGTCATTTTATAAGTAGCTCGCATGCTGAAAAGGTGTGGGCACCTTTAATAATTTTAGTTACAACAGTGAAAAATGAATACAACCCCTGACTTATTTCAATGGGATATTAACTGCTAACACGTAACATTTACAGTTTCACTTTCATTTGTGGCACACTGAGTCCCTTCTCTTTTGGCTCTCCATGTTACTCCAAGTTACTCCCTTTCAGAGCACTGCATTCCATTTAAAAATAGTTCAGTTTTTCACGTTTTTAAGTCAGTAAAATCAGGTCCAGTGCCTTTAATAAAGCATGAACAAAAACTTAAACCCTGCATACTTAGAGTGAGTTCTTGTCTGACACAGAAAATACTCGATTCCACTTTATGTCGTCATGTGGTGATACAGGAAGTGTTCAACTGTGTTTTTAAGCTCCACACACCTTCATTAAAATCATTTGGATAATTTCAAACCCTGGAGTTGCTAATCTCAACTGATCTAAAGGTAAAAAGTAGCTGTTAACTGAAAACTACCACTTCATGACATCACAAGGAGCATTTTGAGCTTTGTAGAGATGTAGACAGACTAATAATAAAGAGTTACTCAGACACGTGTGAATACAACAAACACAACTCCAGGTCTGTTTTTGAGGAGGTAACAACATTAAAACATGACTTAAAGCTCACAAGAGTCAAGTTTGCATAATATTGGATCTTTAATAGACATAAACCAAAAAAATAAAAAATAAATAAAAATAAAAAATCATACAACCCAAGAAGTGAAAGCAAATATTAACTATAGGGGGAAAAAATGGGTTTACCATATTTTTTGGACTATATGTCACACTTTTTTTTCATGGTTTGGATGTTTCCTGTGACTTAAACTCCGGTGCGACTTATATATTAAAATGTTCACATTGAAGTGGTGAGAGGTTCTAGTCTTGTGTGTGAGTATCTGCTGCTCCTGTTCCTCCTGTACCACTGTCACTTCACTCTACTGCACATGTCTCCTGCAGAAAGAGCCTCTGTTCTGTCTGTATCATGTCAGTCGATCGCACCATTACTTCTGCACCACTGAAATTTTTAATTTTAAACAAACTTATAAAGACGACTGAGAAGACTGAACACAAATGCCCCTAAAAGAAAATCTGATTTTCCAGATTACAAACTGCAAGTAACAAAATCTGCAGCTGAAAACGGTAACTGAGACGCAGAAAGAAAGTTTGGAGTGAGAGAGAATCTTGTGACACTGGGAGGATGTAACATGAAACTTTCCTGAAGTCACTGGATGGATGGACAAAGTCTGGACTTGAGTAACACTGAAACCATCCTGTCGGGATTCAGAAAGACCCGAATAATTCTAACTGGAACTGATGCTGAGTCTGACGACAGCGACACAGAAGAGGAAGTGACGCTCTGTTTACCTCCGGAGGTCGAGGCCGAGTTGTTCAGAAGTGACACCGAGGATGAAGAATTGAATGGATTTAGTGATTTGGAGTGAGATGGAGAGTTTGATAAACTTGTTCTGTTCTGTTGTTTATGTTATAGTTTATCTGAAGAACTGTTCATATGTGACGTTAACAGTCTGTTGTTCTCTCTTCTATTGTTTTTACTAGAACTTGACTTTCATCAGGAAATGTTCATGATCTCTGATTTTATAAAATACATTTCCCCAAAAAGTGCGACTTATAGTCCTGTGCTACTTATGTTTTTTATTCTTCATTGTGCATTTTTTGTCTGGTGCCAGTTATACTCCGGAGCAATTTATAGTCTGAAAAATACAGTAATACTTTGTCATAGTCAAAAGTTTGAACACATCTTCTCAGTCATTGTCTTTATGTTTAATACTTTGTACATTTAGACACACAGAAGACATTAAATATATGAAGCTGGAAATTATTTATTTATTTATTTATTTCATAAAGCATAAAAAGACATCGACAGTGTCACAACATCAAACACACAAATGAATGAAAAGGAGCAGAAAGAAGAAAAATCTTCTGAAATTATGTATGACAGAAAAACAAGCACATACTAATAAATATTACTTTTACATTCATTTTACATTCAAATGGGGGGGTTGGGATTAATTACGTTTTTCTTCCAGTCTGGGCAGTTTTTAGGCCCGAGCGCCAGAAGTAGGCAGAAATGTTACACAATGCACCTTTAAATCAATGATTAAACTGTTATAAAAAATGATTTCCACGTGCATAAATTGTCCCTACATTTTTGAATGGATTCACTTTGATTAGTTGATGTATGTTTGTTTGAGAAGGCAGTGGTAGATCAGGTTTAGATGATGCATTCTTATCTCCTCATATGATCTGGAGTTTTCCAGAAGAGCTCGTTCTATAAGATCAAACATGACGAAACAAGTATGTAAGTATAATATTACGTTCTATGGAAAATCACTTCAAGTTTGTGTAAAGCTGACAATGTTTTTAAAGGTGCACCATGTCATTTTTTGGTTGGGGGTCTATCCTGTGAAAAATGTGAACTATGGTCGACAGGTTGGGGCAGGTTTTCTAGTCTCATGTCTTCTGCTCTCAGCACTGAACCAGAATAAACACAGACTTTTACTGAAGGGCTGATCCAACTCTACTGCAGTCATAGATATTCATTACCTTTAAACACTGGGTGAATCTGTAGTGCAGACAGTGTTGGGAGTAACAGATTACATGTACCAGAGTTACTTAATCAGAGTACAAATTATGAGTAACTGTATTCAGTTACAGTTACTGTTTCAGTGAGTGGTAATAAGATTACAGTTACTTTGTTGAAATAAATGGATTAAATTTTCCTGTTTTACATTTCGGGCTTCCCCCAGGTTCACACTAAACCAGGTCTAAAACCAGGACAAAACAGGACTAAACCAGGGTCAAACCAGGTTCCAAACCAGGACTAAACCAGGTCTAAACCCACTAAACCAGGAAACAAAACAGGTCTAAACAGGTCTAAACCAGGACTAAAACAGGACTAAACCAGGTCCAAACCAGGACTAAAAACAGGACTAAACCAGGTCTAAACCAGGACTAAACCAGGTCTAAACCAGGTCTAAAACCAGGACTAAACCAGGTCTAAAACCAGGTCTAAACCAGGACTAAACCAGGACTAAACCAGGACTAAAACCAGGTCTAAACCAGGACTAAAAACAGGACTAAACCAGGAGTAAACCCAGGTCTAAACCAGGACTAAAACCAGGTCTAAACCAGGTCTAAACCAGGTCTAAACCAGGTCTAAACCAGGACTAAACCAGGTCTAAAACCAGGTCTAAACCAGGACTAAAAACAGGACTAAACCAGGACTAAAACCAGGTCTAAACCAGGATTTAACAGGACTAAATCCTGCTGTGTGGACGTGTCTCCTCTTTTTCTATCAATAATATTTTTAATTTGGTTCAGTAAAGTCTGGACTTTTTTATTTTCTTTTATCAGACAAAACATCTTAAGTGAAGATTTCCTCGTCTTTGTTTCTCTACAGCAAATCAAGTAATCCAAAGTATTCAGATTACATTACTCACTTTAAGTAATTTAATAGATTCTGTTACAAACTACATTTTGGTGTATGTAATCTGTAATCTGTAGGGGAATACATTTTAAAAGTAAACTTCCCAACACTGAGTGCATATGCTTCATCAAGAGTGGACTGACACTCTGGGCCCAATCAACAGGGAACACACACCAGAAATAAACACCAACTTTAAAATGAAACACAAGTGGAGGTATTAGACAAGATGCACTTTTTTTGGAGCTTTCTACCAAGTTATAACATTGTTTCCTCATAAAAAAATGTGCCTGAGGAGGTTTCAGATGTCACCCGTGTGTGTTCAGCTCCACCCACAAGCCTCAGTCACCCATGCTCCCGCACCAACATGATAAAAACAAAACGAAACTGCACAAAACAACGTGACAAACCTGATGCAATGTGCAATAGTTTCATTAAAGGGAAGTGGACAGGAAGGGTGACTCAGAAAACAAAAAAAAGTGAAAAGACCAAACCAGTCAAAACACCATCTAAACCTAAACCAGGATCTAAACCAGTAAAGGACCAGGTACTAAAACCAGGTCTAAACCAGGAGAAAGATTCAAGGACAGTTTGAACTTTGAAATATAAAAGGAAATGTTCGATGAGATCAGATCGTTTTATGGACATTTTATTTTTGATTTTATTTGACACCAGTCTGTTGCTATTTTTATTGCTACTTATTTAGAATTTATCATTACAATTTATATTTTTTTATCCTTGTTATTATAATATATTGTGATGTGTGAGCTGCTGTTCTGCTTTTTTTTTTTTTAAAACACAGTCTAAGCAAGTGTCTCTACACGCTCTCACCTAAAGACATTCTCCGGAACTGGTGCAGTTTGTGACATGTCTGACAAACTTCCAACCAATCAGCTTCCTCCTCCAGAGTGTATAATTACTTTCTGACTGTCCCAGAATCACTGTCAGAGACTCTGAGCTCGTCGTGCGTCGTCCGTCTCTGTTCTTAGCTCCATAAAGGTACGTGTGTTTTCTTCTGATCACAGGTTTGAAGATTAAACAAAATGAGAGGTGAGGTCTGTGTGAACTCTTCTCTGTACACAACTGAACCTTGACCTGCAGATAGAAGACATGAACAAGTTTGTCTCATTCTCAGTTTATCTTCAGGTCATGGCCCAGAATCTCCAGAATTCCATCAATGAAGTTCATTATGTCTTTTTAAAATTAATTTAATTCTGATCTTTTTTTAGTTTATTTTGCTCTTTAAATAATTACACCATGTTGCAAAGTTACATCTAGTTGGAAGAAGTTATTTTCACTTTCACTTTTACTGGGTCAGTGACTGTGCAATAAATGCAAAGGTGAACCTGCTGCTGCTACAGTACACATGAGATACGGTGCAGTTTTATCTATTTTTTACTTTGTACTTTTTCAGAATCATGGCAGACAAACAAGACACTGTTGACGCAGCGATGTGAGTACTGAGATCTGTACTTGTATAATCTGTTGATACTTTGCAGTGATGCTGCTATATATACGGTACACATGATATGCAGGGGGTGTTCTACATTTATCTCTATGACCGTTACCTTGCCAGTCCTCACTTGTTACTTTTACTCTGTGTAGCAAGTGTGTTTGCTTGTTTGTTTGTTTTTATTTAGATCCCCATTAGCTACTGAAAAACAGCAACTCTTCTGTGTGTTACTACAGACTGTCACTACCTGGTTACATTAAATATACATATAGATTATGTTGTTTACCCCCGAACGAAAAAAAAAATAAAATAAAAATATAATCGACATGTTGGGGTCTTGAATCTGGAGCACCCGCAGTAGAGACCAATGACTTAACACCATGAGCTAAACTCCCTCACCCGTCTCTTCTGACCTCATGTCTAAATGTACCACACGCAGGGGCAAACGCATCTTGTGAACAGAGTGTGTAGAAGCCGTGAGGGGCTCTCTCGGGGAGGGATGTGTAAAACACACCTTTGTAAATATTACTCCCAGTATATTAACCAGTGGATCAGAGACTGACTGTTTAAAAGAGATGGTTTATTTGTCTGTGAACACAGCAGATGTGGGTACAAACTGAGTGCAGGAAGGTGGCTTCTTTGGAGCTAGTGACAGGAGTCATTTTCAGTAGGTGTGTTCGGATCATGAGTGAGGCAGATGTGTTGGAGACATAACACTGCACTGTTTGTATGTTTGAACAGTGCTAAATAAAGTCAAAATATGAGTGAACTAGTTTCTGCAAAATTTACATGTATTAAGTGTCAAAATATATTTAGAAATTTTGATGGGGGGTTCGGGTCGGCCTCCTGAGATTTGGGAGGGCCTAGGCACCTAAGGGGTGTCACAAGCGTGCATTTTGGGCCAGTGAAAAATTACAAATGGTAGGTAGGCCTATTGATATGAACAATAATAATATTTTATAACAATTGTACTAATAATAATTGTGTGTAGCACTTAATAAAAGTCAAATAAATAAGCCTCTAAAACAAATAGATTTAAAAAATCAATAAATGAATGAAATTGTATGAGTAACAGATCAATGTGCCAGTGCTTATGTCTGTCCAGGTGAGCATTTTTTACGTCAAGATGAAAATGAAATGAGCTGTAGGCCATTTACAGGTCAAAACTAAACCAGAACAACAGAGTAATGGGAATCAAAATCCGTAGTATATGTAGGCATAGGTAACGAAAATTCGGCAAATGTAAGTGCGTCATATAATAATTTAAATATAAATATAAATATTTCATATAAATATATATTTTTTTTAATTGGAAAAAAAATAAAAAAATAAAAAATCAAGAAAATACACGATACAGATATTTTATTATTTGCCGCTGGTGACACAATAAACACATTAATTAACACTGACAAAAAGTTTTTAAATTGTCTAAAAATACAAAAAACAGAACATTTTCAGGAGCCTCTGTTTAGGTGTTTTGACTTGTTTAAAAGCATATTATTATTATATATTTTTTTATTATTATTATTATTATTACAATTTTTTTGTAGTTTAGATTATGTTAAAACAAAGCTCAGATTAAAGTCTAACAAGCCTCAGACAGAGCAGTGCCTACAGTTAGCGTCACACCCCCAGAGAATGTTGATGAATGCAGCTGCAGTAATAAAGTTTCATTGTCAGATTGGAGGTTTAATGACCTGGTTAATAGTTAATGTCTCTGTAATCGCTGGGCCTGGCCACACGACACTGGTACAAAGTTCAATGTCAAGAAACAAAATGAAGTGATTTTTGTTGTGTATTTTTGTAGCCTCACACACTGGTTGTTGAGTTGTTTGTCTGTAAAGCAACACATGTTTATCTTATAAAGCACAATTCATACACAGTGAACAGTGAATTCAAAGAGAAGAGCAGAATAAACACTTCTCATTTATATGCACAGTCAGTGTTGGGAAGGTGACTTTTAAAATATATTCCCCGACAGATTACAGATTACACACACCAAAATGTAGTTTGTAACGGAATCCATTCAATTACTTAAAGTGAGTAATGTAATCTGAATACTTTGGATTACTTGATTTGCTGTAGAGAAGCAAAGACGAGGAAATCGTAACATAAGATGTTTTGTTTCCTAAAAGAAAATAAAAAGCCCAGACTTTACTTAACTGTATTAAAAATGTTATTGATAGAAAAGGAAGAGACACATCCACACAGCATGATTTAGTCCTGTTACGTCCTGTTTTAGTCCTTGTTTAGTCCTGGTTTAGATCTAGTTTAGCTCTGGTTTTAGTCCTGGTTTAGTCCTGGTTTAGACCTAGTTTAGATGTAGTTTAGCTCTGTTTTTAGTCCTGGTTTAGTCCTAGTTTAGCTCTGGTTTTAGTCCTGGTTTAGACCTGGTTAAGATCTAGTTTAGACCTGGTTTAGTTTCCAGCAATGAGTGAAATTACCGGAAAAAAAAAAAAAAAAAAAAAGGGAAAAAATGTAAAAACTGGAAAATACCGCCATGTAATCCATTTATTTCAACAAAGTAACTCTAATCCAATTACCACTCACTGAAACAGTAACTGTACCTGAATACAGTTACTCATAATTTGTACTCTGATTACATAACTCAGGTACATGTAATCTGTTACTCCCCAACACTGCACCCAGTTAAACAACAGGTTTAAACATTGTTAAAGTAGATTCAGGTTTAGACTGCATCAAACATCAAAGACTGACTCCCCATGTTTAGTCCTGGTTTGGTCACTGATTTAGACCTGGTTTAGACCTGATTTAGCCAATGTTCAGTCCTGGTTTAGACCTGATTTAGCCCATTTTAGCCCATGCTTAGTCCTGGTTTAGTCCTAGTTTATTCCTGGTTTAGTTTTTGCTTAGCCCATTTTCAATCTTGGTTTAGCCCATGTTTAGTCCTAGTTTAGTGTGGTTTAGCTCATTTTTAGCCTATACTTAGTCCTGGTTTAGCATATGTTTAGTCCTAGTTTAGTCTGGTTTAGCTCATTTTTAGCCTATACTTAGTCCTGGTTTAGCCCATGTTTAGTCCTAGTTTAGTCTGGTTTAGCTCATTTTTAGCCTATACTTAGTCCTGGTTTAGTCCTGGTTTAGGCAATGTTTAGCCCATGTTTAGTCTTGGTTTAATCCTGGTTGGGTCTTGGGTTAGTCTTGGTTTAGTGAATGTTTAATCCTGATGTAACCCTGGTTTATCCCTGGTTTAGTCAAGGTTTAGCCCATGCTTACTCCTGATGAATGCTCGAACTGATCACAGGCTCTTGAAAATGTGTTTTTAAAATCCATTTGGTATACAGTGTTTGCTGATGTGTGCATTGTGTCTCCATGGTAAATAAACATTTCACCATTTGAGATATAAACATATATAAACATACATAGAGATACATGTGGAAGTACTGTGCATATTCTGCAGCTAAAATGTACATTCAATACTTTTTCAGGTTTGTTGCAGATAAAGGACAGAGCAGCAGGAACACAGCTGACTCTAACTCCTTCACACTTGTAATAAAGTAAGTATTTGGATGTGAATAGATGCATCACGAATTTTGGACTTAAGGTCATTACGTTATACATACTGGGAAGGATTTTCTGAAAAAGTGAGCATCAAACCATCATGTTTGTTTTCCCAGTGGGATGCATCTATTGACAAAGTCAGTCTTTTGAACCATATCACTTTTGTTTCTGGTTCTGATATTGTCATATTTTAGTTTTGGGAATTGGACATTGTAATTATGTGGTTGTTGGATCCTAACAGTGGAAAATGGCTTGAGAAATTTGTTTGTGAACTTCATAACTGCAAACGGGAATCAGATGTGTGTGACTGCAAACCTCTGTTCAAACTGTTTCCCAACGGAATTGAAAAATAGTGAAAGGTGAAGGCGATGAGCAGGATTGATCCACGGGAAGGTCGAAAAAGGAAACCTTTGACTGCCTAAATCATCCCAAGTTTGCACCGAACATTTTGTGTCTGGAGCACCAACAAAGCAAAATCTCGATCCCTCGCTCCACCTTGGTTACGAATTTAAAAAGTCAACACCAAAGTGAAAGGCACCAGCTGTTCACCAAGAAACACCTTCCACTGCAAAGAGACCAAGACGTGATGTTGCTGTAAAACCACAAGAACAAGAAAGTGCAGCTCAGCCTGTTTGTCTTCTGTACCTCTCACTTAACAAACAGGATCCTGCTTTGTTGGTGCTCCACATACAAAATGTTCGCTGCAAACTCGGGATGATTTAGGCAGCCAAAGGTTTCCTTTTTCATCCTTCCTGTAGATCAATCCTGCCCATCACCTTCACCTTTCACTATTTTTCAGTTCCGTTGGGAAGAGAAACAGTTTGAACAGAGGTTTACAGTCACACACATCTGATTCCCTTTTACAGTTATGGAGTTCGCAAACAAATTTCTCAAGCCGTTTTCCGCTGTTAGGATCCAACAACCACACAATTAACGATGTCCGAATCCCAAAACTAAAATATGACAATATCAGAACCAGAAACAAAAGTGATATGGTTCAAAAGACTTGAAAAGATCGACTCTGTCAATAGACGCATCCCACTGGGAAAACAAACATGACGGTTTGATGCTCACTTTCTTGGAAAATCCTTCCCAGTATGTATTGCACAAAGACCGGAAGTCCAAAATTCGTGATACATGTATTGCACCACCACCAAAAGGGTGCCACTAAAATGCATGTAGTGCAAATGCAGACCTTTAACGTTAAGCTAAGATCATGAGCAAAACATATTTATATATATTGTGCACAGCCATAATATTTGTTGTAAATACTTTTTCAGGGTTAAGGCAGATAAAGAGAAGAGCAGTGGGTTCACAGTTGACTCAGCAGAGTAAGTGGCTTGTAATTTTTCTGCTCGTCTCCATGGAGATGTTAATGTTTTATCTGGAATGTCCCGGTATGGCATTAAACTTACCCATCTCACATTTACTCAATAATACTGGTCTTACACTGAGTGCTTTTGTACTATTTTAAAACTAGATTAAATTTGAAGAGATTATGTCATTGTACAAAATACAACGACACTTTCTAACTCACCTCTGATAATCAATATTTTTCAGAATCATGGATAACAAAGAACAAATAACACAAAACAAAGAGGATTCAGCAAAGTAAGTCGCCTATTTGGATTTGTTCAAGTATTTACCTGCTGACCAGTGTGCCGCTATATAAATCAAAATTCCTTGTCTTACGCTGGGTTTGGTTGGAATTTTTCACCCACAAGAACAATATATTGCAGAAAAAAAACTGTAAATAAAAATCTGTTATGATTCCAATATGCCACCAGTCCAACAGGTCACCCACTAATGTTTATCTGTAGCACCATTGGGTACACAAAGTAATTCAAAGTGCTTTACAGAATAAGAAACACATTAAAATCACAATACAAACTAATTGAAACATTATTAATCATCATAAAATAAATATTAAAAGAGAAGAGAGCAGAGTAAAAACCCTTTCATTCATATGCACAGAACTGGTTTTAAACAGTCAGAGCAGAAGATTGTCTCACATCTCCAGGTTTAGACTGTAAAAAAACTGGAAGACTGACTTCCCATGTGGAGTCCTGGTTTAGTCCTGGTTTAGTTCGTGTTTAGTTTGTGTTTAGCCCCAGTTCAGTCCTGGTTTAGTTCTGGTTTAGCCAAGGTTTAGTCCTGGTTTAGTCCTGGTTTAGTCTTGGTTTAGTCCTGGTTTAGTCCTGGTTTAGTCTTGGTTTAGTCCTGGTTTAGTCTTGGTTTAGTCCTGGTTTAGTCTTGGTTTAGTTCTGGTTTAGCCAAGGTTTAGTCCTGGTTTAGTCCTGGTTTAGCGCATGTTTAGTCCTGGTGTGGTGTAGGATTTTGACCCCCCAGTAGGTGACCCCAGGGTCCACATACCATATAGTATTTTGACCCCAGGGTCAGAATCCTATTATAGTATGTTGACCCCCCTTTAGAATATTGACCCCCCCTTAGAAAATCTATATTTTATTAATAAATAACTTGAATTCTATTGAAAAACTTTGAATATTAATACTATATCTGCAAATTAAAACATGTTGACATATTTAAAAGTGTTTTTTGAAAAACTCAGATGCATTTTTAATGTTGATTATAACTTTTGAATGTTAAAAATGACTTAGTTGTTGAAATATATTTTACTGAAAATGAGATAAGTAGTTATTAATGAGTTAGGTCATCAAAGTGATGTTTAATGATTTGGAATCTTGTTCAAATAGACATGGGTGAGTAGTTAAATAGGGGATACATATGACTATAGTAATCTGACCCGCCAATATGTTTATTATAGTTATGATGATGTAAAGTAAGAAGAAGTCATGTTAGTTGAATATTGACAATGATCTATTATATATAAAAAAGGTCAAAATCCTATGACTATAATAATCTGACCATCCAATATGTTTATTATAACAGAACATGACTAAATTCAAGGTCGTTATTCTTACAAACCATTGCCTAAATTGACATTATGATTAAGGATAAGGGGGTGGATTGGGGCAAGTCGCAAAACATTCCTTAAAATACCTTAAAACGGAATATGTCGACCCCATGAGGTCAAATACTATAAAGGGGGGGGGGTCAAAATATTATCTCACACCGGTTTAGCCCATGTGTAGTCCTAGTTTAACCCTGGTTTAGTCCTGATTTAGCCAAGGTTTAGCACATGTTCAGTCTTGGTTTAGCCCATGTTTAGTTCTGGCTTAGTCCCAGTTTAATTCTGGTTTAGTCCTGGTTTCTTCCGGTTTGGTCCTGGTTTATTTCGGGTTTAGTTCTGGTTTAGCCCATGTTTAGTCCTGGTTTAGTCCTGATCAGTCTTGATCAGCGTAAAGCTTTACTTTCTATTTACAGGTTTTAATCACCAGATTAAATAGATATTAGAACATCATCCAAACCTGTCATACACACTTTAAACTGGGTTTACACTGTGATTTTGTGCAATTTAAAAATGTTCTAAATTATTCCCAAACTCACATTATTCGACACACTGGGGGTTATGGTTAAGGTTAGGGCCTGGTTTTGAGCTTCTGGTTAAGTTAGAACAATGGGTTATGGATTTACTTTCAAAAATATCTTTTAAATGTGAGAAAACAGCCAAGTTAACTTTTTTTTTTTTTTCAGAATCACCAAGGCCCATGAAAAACTGAGCTGTGGGGATGTAGTTGATGCAGGAAAGTTCCAAATGTAAGTATTGGTATGTTACAGTGTAGTGGAGGGAGATGAATTTACCACTCCCACTACAAACACTGTAGAAAACCCCCAAACTCTGTGGCCTAAAACACAATCAACTTCTCAGAGCTTTTAACCATGTTGTAGTTGTTTCCCCTCACCATTTACTCACCCAGAGTTGTATTTGGAGTGATTTGTGCATGTTTGACTCGCCTTTAATCGATTATTTTAAAAACTACATATTGCCAATCAAACAGTGTTTTCATCACCACCAGAACACGCCCACTGCTTTCTACTTACTTTGTTCTCCATTTGGATTTGATATGTGTAGGATTTGACAGTGTTGTAGTAGTGATTTTGGTATATATTAAAAAAAATTTAATCTCCTACTGGCTATTGTGCTGTGCAGCCGTCCATCAGAGGTGCCGACTCTTTGTCCTAACACCGATGTTTATTTAATTTTAAATGAATTTAAAAGCAATCAGTGTTTGCCAGAAAAATTGCAATCAGATGTTTTTCCCAAATTGTTCAGCCCTCAGTATATTGTAAGGCACTAATGGGGAAAATGAATAACATAATGAATGGACTTTTAACTTTTTTTTAATCTTAACTTTAAACCAGGGAGACCACCGCCTCCTCTTCAGTGCGAGCTGTGCCGACCTTCCAGGACTCTGAGGATCAGTGCAGATACCAGATGAACTTCCCCTGTCTGGGAGTCTGTCTGATCATCAACAACAAGAACTTTAAAGGTACAAAGTATAATTCATGTTCCCGCTCATTCCAGTTGAGAATGGAAATGTTGTTCTCTTATTTCACTTTTGAACTTGGAGAAATGCACGGCTCAGGTCAGATCTGTCTACTTTATTTTGTCCGGGATCCAGAATACACACTTCTTTAATACTATATGAAACTGTGAGTCTGGTCACCGATAAAACTCCCATCATCAAATGGGCATGATTGACAGGTGGATTAGCCAATTAACCCAAACATGCACAGGCTGCCTATATTTTAAAAGATACACATTATACTAAACCGACTCTCGCCATGTTATTGTTCAACAAATGTATATCTTACAATCCATTAATCAAAAATTGTCTTCTCTGAACACTCAAAAATGCTCTATTTGCATTTTGCCCAGATTGTTGTGTCATAGGTAAAAATCTGAATTTCTGCTTAGTTTATAATCCCATAAACCATCAACAGTCAGTGTTCACTACAAGCACATTGCTCTAATAGCAAAGCATTTATGAGAGTAAAAACTTCATTCATTTTCTCATTGTTCATTCCTATTGCTGACAGCAGAGGGCGCTCCAACGCCTAAATGACATTTTGAAATGTAGACAATACATACATAAGATTAAGACAGAGTGACTCGAAGCATGTTTAAAAGGAAATTAAAGGCTCAAGAATAAACAGTGATGTGTTTTTAAGCCTGTTTTTTGGTCTGGTGTTTCAGAATTGAGCACTCGCGCTGGCACAGATGCGGACGAAGCCGCTGCAAAGAAAACATTTGAGGCTCTGGGGTATAAAGTCATTGTGCGCAAGAACCTCACTAAGAAAGAGATGAAGGAGGAGCTGGAGAAAGGTAACTTCATTCACTTTTAGAAACAAAACTGTCTCTCTGTCTGTAACTGCTGCAGTGAGCCTCGTCATTTTGGTCTTAAAGTATTCATACTAACATGCACAATCCTGGTATTTTTATTTTGATAAAATTCCCCCAAAATATTAAAATGATAACTTCCTTTTCCTAATTTGGACCTGCTCGCCTCTATGGGTGACGACACACTCCCTTAATCCACTTATTTATACAGTCTATGAACATAACAGACAAAGAGTCATTTAAAAGTCATTTACAGTTGTGTGTGACAAAGTGTTGCCATAATACTAAAATTCGATTTCATTATGAAGAATACACTTAATACCGATTCCGATACCATAATGATAATAAAAAAAACATTCTTTCTTTAGACAAAAAAATGTGATTTTCAACATTAAATCATAGTATTTTCTTTTCTATTCCCATGTGTCTTATATGTGTGTAATGGTCCAGTAGGTTCCACAGTGGTCAGTGTGTACACTAGTCTATGTGCTCTTATACTTGTTCTGATACAGCTCAAGAAACACCTCATCTCTGTCCTGTGAATGTTGTAGTTACTCCACCTTTTTGTGCTTGATGTTTTTCAGTGTCTGATGAGGACCACAGTGGAAATGCATCCTTCGTTTGTGTGATTTTGAGCCATGGAAAAGAGGAAGGGATTTATGGGACAGATGATATAGTGAAACTAGAAAAACTCACCAAATATTTTAAAGGAGATGCATGCGAGACTCTCATAGGGAAACCCAAGCTCTTCTTTCTGCAGGTTAGTCTCTCCTTTAACTATTCAGAGGTGTGGATCCTCTGCTCCATCTGATGTTCTCCTCTTAATCTTTTGGTCCCTCTGACCCTCTCTTCTTCATCCTCTGCTCCACCTAACCCTCTCCTCTTCATCCTTTGTTCCATCTGATGCTCTCCTCTTCATCTTCTTCTCCATCTGACCTTCTCCTCTCCATCTGATGCTCTCCTCTTAATCTTTTGGTCCCTCTGACACGCTCCTCTTCATCCTCTGCTCCATCTGACGCTCTCCTCTCCATCCTCTGCTCCATCTGACGCTCTCCTCTTCATCCTCTGCTCCATCTGACGCTCTCCTCTTCATCCTCTGCTCCATCTGAAGCTCTCCTCTCCATCCTCTGCTCCATCTGAAGCTCTCCTCTTCATCTTCTGCTCTAACTGACCCTCTTCTTTGCATCTTCTGCTCCATCTAACACTCTCCTCTTCATCCTCTGCTCCATCTGAAGCTCTCCTCTCCATCCTCTGCTCCATCTGACGCTCTCCTCTTCATCTTCTGCTCTAACTGACCCTCTTCTGAAGCTCCCTTCATCCTCTGCTCCATCTAACGCTCTCCTCTTAATCTTTTGGTCCCTCTGACGCGCTCCTCTTAATGTTTTGGTCCCTCTGACCCTCTCTTCTTCATCTTCTGCTCCTCCTAACCCTCTCCTCTTCATCCTTTGTTCCATCTGATGCTCTCCTCTTCATCTTCTTCTCCATCTGACCTTCTCCTCTCCATCTGATGCTCTCCTCTTAATCTTTTGGTCCCTCTGACACGCTCCTCTTCATCCTCTGCTCCATCTGACGCTCTCCTCTCCATCCTCTGCTGCATCTGAAGCTCTCCTCTTCATCTTCTGCTCTAACTGACCCTCTTCTTTGCATCTTCTGCTCCATCTGACGCCCTCCTCTGCATCCTCTGCTGCATCCTCTGATCTTCTGATCTTCTCCTCTGCTCTCGAATCTAAATCTAAATCTAAATCATTTATGTGTTGTATTTTTATTTTCTGTTGTTTCAAAGGTATGCCGTGGAGAAAAGTTAGATTCTGGGGTGAAGGACAGAGACATGGTCGACGCCACAGCGCTGCCCATTACACAAAAGATCCCAGTGGAGGCAGACTTCTTGTACGCCTACGCCACAGCTCCAGGTAACACAGACCACTACTAGAGACCCTCCAGTGGTGCAAACTAGAGCTGAGGGGAACAGATAAAAATGTAACACCTCTACAATTTAAAGGTGCACTATGTAACTTTTCGGTTGTTCGTCACAGACTTGTTTCTATGGACATGTCACTGCTCTGCTTCGAATTTGCCACAGTTTGACATTTAACAGCTCTACCTTACATTTATGGCTCAAAAATACAGAGAAAACAAAGATTTTGACTTTGAGCGGGGTCGTCTCTCCACAGATCTGAGCAATAAATTTGGTCTCCATGAAGATAGAAAGGTTTAATACTATACTGGCCACGTTTACATGATGTTTTTTTTATTTTTTTATTTTGAATTAATTAAAATGCATTAAATAGTTCAGAATTAAAATATTTTCCATCAAGTTTGAAGTTTGAATTGAGGTTTACATGGAAAACACGTTAAATCATCTTTATTTAAATCTGCTCAACGTCTGGAGATGGGGGAGGTTCTGATTGGACAGAAACAAGAACGTATTTATTTACGTCGACTGGAAGAAAACCCACACTTTAGCTGCCACTGTCTTCTATCGTTACGCCACGGACACAAACATGATCCAGACTTTTTCCGCAGTCATTCTGATGATAATTGCGCAGCAGCTGGAGAATTCTCTCATTTTTACGTCTGTCGACTGAGGAGGAGAAGGGAAGAGTGTCGGAGAAGGAGGAAGAAGACAAACTGTATCAACAGCTGCTCTACCTCAGTCCACTCCCACATCCTGCTCACAAATCCAAAGAGACGTGGATGAAAGTCTGAAGCCAGGACTGGTGGAGCCGGATCGTTCGGATCATGTCAGAATTATTTTCTGTTTAAACATTTACATGATCCAGGAATAAATGAATTTGGCTTTAAAATCAGAATAAACCACCCACTTACAAATATAATCATAATAATGATCATTTTCATTAGGAATTAAGTGTTTACATGGTCTCTTTAATGTGGAATACATTTTTATTCAGAATTAAATTATTTTAATTTGGAATTAAAGCTCTAATGTAAATGTGGCAAATGTCAAACATTCTAGACAAAGCAATAACGTCTCCATGGAGAAAATGAGGCACCCTCCACCAGAAAAGTTACACAGTGCAACTTTAATTAACAAACAAGTACTAGAGTCATGAATGACCTCAAGAAAACGTTTGCAAGGATTGGGTCTATTTGTTGCTCTATTTCGTCTCTTTTGGTCAATTCTCAAACTGACTTTTAGGTGAATTTGAGCTTTAAAACACCTGTAACTGAACACATGCTAGAGAGATATGTTTAATGCTCTACTGTGGAACATTCCAGGCAAAGAAATAACATTTCTGTGGAGACAAACAAGTAGTGGAGTCTCACCTTAGAAGTTGCACCTTTAACTGTTTCACAGTGAGGTAGTAAAAACATTTTCAGTGTGTTTTAATGTGTGAAGAATTCCTGTGTCTCCCTGTGGTCTGCAGGACACTACGCCTGGAGGAACTCCCAGAACGGCTCCTGGTTCATTCAGTCTCTGTGTGAGATCCTGCCCAAATATAAACACCTGGAGCTGATGCAGATCATGACCAGAGTCAACAGGAAAGTGGCCTTTGACTTTGTGTCCTCCAACAATAATCCCGAATTTGACGGAAAGAAAGCAGTTCCCTGCTTCGCCTCCATGTTGACCAAAGATTTTTACTTCCCAGAATAGATTTTAAGCAGTGGTGGAACATAGTGAAATAAAAGAAATAAAGTACTGCACTTAAGAATACACTGTATCTGTGCTTTACAAGTACATTTTAAAGTAGATACAGTTTAGTTTACTACATTTTAAAGCAGGTATCTGTGCTTTCTACTCCACTACATTCTTGAAAATAAAATGATTTTTTTATTATTGTTTGAGACCTGCTGAAAAGTTTATTTTGAACATATTCATAGTTTTCTGAACAGCTAGAAAAAAAATGATTTAAAACAATCACTACATTTGAAGCATACATTTTTATTTTTTGCTTCAGCATCTGTACTTTTACTTAAGTAACAAAACTGAGTACTCCTTCCACCACTGATTTTAAAGCTGTACTGTGTAACTTTCCTGGTGGAGTGTCTGTCACTTGTCTGTCTCTATCATCAGTGGCATTAGACTTATTTATCCCGATGGAGACAAGCAGGTGATGCTCAGAGGTAAAGTTACAGGTCAGATCTGTGGAAAAGAGTAAATTTATTTAGATTTTTAGTGTAACCATGAGCATAAGCACCTATTTCTGTTCCATAAATGTTTGTTATTTTTGTGTCTGAGACTTTTTATTGAACCAAAAGATAATCAGGGCGTCATGAGTAGGTTTTGATATTTGAAACCTTAATGTTTTTTAAATCTTTATAAACTGTGAATTGCAAATTATAAAATAAATCTGATATAAACTTTGTGCCTCTATGCCACCTGTTGATCCTTATGTTATACTGTGGACATTTAAAATCACAACATTGATCTAATAGACTTAACTAGACACACTACAGCTTACACAGAACATCTTAAGGATTTTTATTTGGAGATGGGGTAGTTACGAATAATCAAACTGGCCTCTAAGCTTCTTGCTTCTTCAGCCAAAACCGGACGTGCGTGACCGTTTGTCATGATAAGGATCGTCTGAATAGTGCACTGAGTTAGGAAAGAGTGAGGAAAGGGAGAGAGGCAAAAAATATTAAATAATTATATTAAAATAAATAAATAAATAAATAAATAAAAACAGAACAACAACACTGGAAAAATGTGTTTCAATCAAAGTTGTGAGCCTACGGAACAGTCTAAATTGGGGGTCTCCAAACTTCTTCCCCCGGTGAGGTACTTTTACAGAATGAAAATGCCAGAGAGCTACTAGTTTAAGAAACTGAGCCCATATAAGAGTCACAGGCTTAGATGAGGGAGTGGTTGGTGGTAGGGTACAAAGTTGGGCATCAAAATGATACATGTACAGTGGTCAGAGGTGTTTAATTAATCCAGTTTTACTTATTCAGCACAATGCGTAAAATCAGAAAGCTCTTGGCGAGCTACTTGGACGGGGGTGGAGATCTACTGGTAGCTCCTGAGCTACAGGTTGGAGACCCCTGGTCAAACATGATATGCTAAAATAAACAAACAAACAAACAAATAAATATATTTGTACTGGGTTAGTACTGGGTGAGTCAGAACGCACAGAGATATGGTTATCTGATTTGGAGTGAGCGCTGAAGGAGAAACTGTGAAGGGGATTGGTTAAAAGTGTGGCAATTTTTTCCTAAAAACTGCTCATCTCCTGACGTGTGTGTGTGTGTGTGTGTGGAGGTGAGTCACACTTCACTCATCTCATCTAACTGTCTTTTACACAAACCATATACACACATTTCCACAGAACACATCAGTGTGTTCCTGTAATTACACTACGTGGAGCTGATGCACTGAGTAAACAGAAGAGTGGTCTATCACTTCCACACGTCCAGAGGCAACTACAAAGAAATCCCCTGCATCACGTCCCTGCTGACCAAAGAGTTTTACTTCCCATAGTCAACACAATGTGACTGTGACAAGTTTGGATTATTTTCTAATGTTGACTTCATTTAGTGGGATAATATCAGTTTTACACCAGTCAAGAAGCAATTTGGGAAAGAAAAGTTGAAAAATATGTTGAAAATTACAGGAAGAAGAGAGTTCTATTTTAGAGAGTCCCATATTGATGACATAAGAAGAATTCTGTCCAAAAGTTCAACACAAGAAACACATTTTTATGATAATTTAAATCAGGGGTGTCAAACTCACTTTCACCAAGGGCCACATCTGGATCATGTTTGTCATCAAAGGGTCTGTTGTAAAGTTAAGACTGTAACTGTAACTGTCATATCAATATGTTACAAAACTGTAAAAGTCTGTATTTGATTTTTCATTTAATATGTATTCATTTTGTTTATTTTTATGTTTTTTACCTTTTTTTATTTACTGGTATTCTTGCTCTTATTTGATTTGACTAGTTTTATTGTCTTAATGAGGACAAGTAGAGTTAAGTAGAGCTTTACTTTATATTTCTATTGGATATGTTTTATTTGTATTGTGCAGCACTTGGGAAACTGTTTTGTTTATTAAATGTCCTATAGAAATAAAGTGGATTGGATTTGATTTAAAGGTTTAAGTTAAAACATTCACATTACTCCTTCAGTAACATTCATGAAACAGCCGTCCTTCTGTATCAATTTTTCTTTTCTTGGACATTTTTGGAGAAATTTGAAGAGTTTTCTTGGCGTCTCTAGTGGCAAGATGCAGTCACTTCACTTCACTGCGGTGCATTGTGGGAAATGTAGTAGCGGCACAGAGTCACAACATAATAATAAAATTATACCTTTTAACCCCTTGTGGGCCACATAAAACGGCTTGGCGGGCCGGATATAACCCACGGGCCTTGGCCTTGACATATGTGCTTTAAACATTATTTCAACAAAATAAAGGTGTTTTCTTATATTTTTATTTCGACTGTCTGCTGAAGACACGAGTGTCCAGTAACAGCCCAAAACACACAACATACTGACTGAGCTCCCAGTCGATTCACACACTAATTGTTTTAAGTCCTTTTGATTTCATTTGAAATGTGTTATATTTGCAGTCAGTGTTGTTCCGCGCTTTTAGCTTTTACTCTGTCATCAGGTCCTGACACCCACAAAAACAGCAGCATCTGTTTCTTTTTTGTAACTTTGTTTTTATTGGTTTTAAGTAACATTTCAAAACATACAAAAACAATAGAAAATCAAAAACAGTGTAACAACAGTCTGGAGTTACAGGTTCTGATTTAAACATGCATATTGTATTGACATTTTAATGCACTATGTTGTTTTACTGGTGTCATTGATGAATACATTCCATTTTTCCCATTGCTCATTGTATTTGGACCCTTTCAGTTTATGATTATATGTTATTCTTTCCATCACTGAAGTATTCTCCACAATCCTGATCCAGTCTTGTTGTGCAGGTGGATCTGGTTGTAACCAACTCTTTGTAATTCCCTTTTTAGATGCAGCTTAAACAATTTTTGTCAAACACATGTCCTCCTTCTTTACTACATCAGATATATCTCCCAGATACATCACCAGACATGTGTTCAGAATTCCATATCCCAGAATACTCGTTAAAGTTGTGTTTAATTGTTCCAAATATACCCTCATTTTCAGGCAACTCCAAAACACATGTGTGTGATCAACGTCCATTTCTCCACACAACCTCCAGCGCTCTTGCGGGGTGGAGATCTAGTTTTGATTTTAGGTGTAATGAAAAACATGTCCAATTCTTCCAGCAGTATTCCCTCCACAACAGTGAATTAGTACTAGCAGCATCTGTTTCTGTAAGTAAAGGGGGAATTGTTCTGAAGTCTTTACATCGATCACTGGTTTGTTCATAAATGGTACAGCAGATCTCTATTGTGAAGTGAGGTTATTAAGGCCTCTACACCGGAGCTCTCATGTCCAGTTTCTTATCGCTCGCTGTAATCGTGGCTCTTATCCCGTGTGAAGTATCACTCTGACCTTGTGCTCCTCATACGAGTCTGTTGTTTTATATTCATCCTCGCCTGTATAAGATCTCTGGATGTATTGTGATGTCACAGTTTAAGGACAGACGGCGCTCTGTCAGGGACACGTCCTTTTGTGATGAACAAGTGCTTCAATAAATCAGACTCCTTCATTCAAGACAACTGTTCACTTCTTTTTATTCTTTGAGGTTTTCAGTCTAAAAATTCCACCACAGATAAATAATAATAATAATAATAATAATGATAATAAAAATAAATAAATAAATAAAACAATTTACAAACAGGAAGTAAAATTTGAAACCTAAAAATATTGCCAAATCAAGAAACAAATCTTAACACTTTTAGCTAAATCATAATGCTCTTAAATGTGTCATTCTGCAAGAAGAACTCGAGTTTGTGCTGGCACTACAGGCCTAGTTAAAGTGTATTTGACAGATTCATATGTATTTTTCTGTTTAGTTTGCTGGTTTGGAGATATAGTGCATGAGATAAATACTCATCCTAATGTTAGTGGCAGTTTGTGAAGAAAAGAATAAAAAACAAAAAGGAAGGAATAGGAAGTAGCAGTGAGTATCAACCCGCATCCATTCTATCCAAAATGCTGACAATTTATACTCAAGGAGAGTATTTAGTAGTATTCTGATGGTTTAAACACACTTTCCAAAATAAAGGTGTTCTCTTTATTTGAATTTGTTTAATTATACTATTGTGCAATATAAGTGTAATTAATTATAAATATAAGAACAAGTACAGGTTTAAAAATATACTAAAAAAGTACAATTACCCATAAAATCTACTCAATTACAAATTAGTAGTTACTTTTCACCCCCTAAGTCATATAATTACTCTTGAGTAGAAGTTTCCCAATATTTGTACAATTTTATATGGTTTCCGGTTGGACTTTTTGTCTCATTCAAGTCTAAATCTCATGTTTAGTCAAATCTGCTTCAGCTTTGGCCTGGGAATTGTCCAGATCCAACAGCAGCTCAGTGTGTCGTCTCTCAGGCCACCCTCAGGGACACCAGCTAAACCTATTCATATATTTACTCCAGAAAATTTAGGCAGAATTTGAAATCGGACTCTCCTCTGTGCAGAACTTGTTCCCAGTTCAAATGAGAGGACAGAGACAGTTCGAGGACAAAACTCCAGAGCCTCGGCGTCATCAGCTTCAGTCCAGCCACTTGTCTGTGCTCCAAAGGGTTCAGAAACAGATTCACTTTTAGTTGAGAGTCATTTGAATCAGACTGAAGAATCCTAAGTATGTGAAAGGTGTGATTTGTTAAATAAACACAGTAGCTGTTTTGTACTGTGCTCTTACCTTTAACACCAGGAAACAAGCAAACCTGTTCTCATGCAGGTGGAGATTTCATCAGAAAAGGATCAGGAAGAAATTCAAAGCTAATTTTAAGGAAAGATCGGAGTCACACTTTTACAACACTTTTGCTTCGATTACAAAGAAGAGCTTCAGTGGGTCAGGGGCTTTTCGGGGTCACAGGGAAAACATCTCTCCAAATGCATTAGCAGATCTTTATTAAACTGGACTTGAATAAAGAACTTTATAGTCATTGAACCTGATTCCTGTGGTCTAAAAATATGAAAAACAGAGCTAGTTTATTTGAAACAGTTTGCAGAGGTCCAAAGTATCGTATGAATTCTGAGCATCCTCATTTTTCACAGATGAACTTATGAGCACTTTTCACAACTTTCAGCAGAAAGAGCCCAGTATGTTGTCACATTAAACCAAGAGTAACTAGTATTCCAAGCATGCACTTCCTGATACCCCATAGGGGTGGAGGTGCATAATTATTGATTTCTCTTTCCTCATTCTTGGTCTTTTGTTCCTTTCTCAGGGTGGTGCATGCAGGCAGGAGGAGCCATAAGAGCAGAGGCATTCTAAGAGACTCGCTGTTACTCTCACTGGAGGAGCAATGGAGACGTCCGTCATGTTAGACCTGCAGGCTTTTTCCTGCGCCATCTGCCTGGACCTGCTGCAGAACCCAGTGACCCTTCCCTGTGGACACAGCTACTGTCTGCACTGTGTGCAGGGCCACTGGGCCCGACAGGGGCAGGAGCAGAGACAGGATGTCAGCTGCCCTCAGTGCAGACAGAGATTCTCTCCGCGCCCGGCTCTGGTCAAGAACATCATGCTGCAGTCTTTAGTGGAGGGGCTACAGAGGGCACCGCAGGAGGCCGCTGGTTCTATTCCGGAGGTGTGTTGTGACATATGCCCTAGGGGGCAGCAGAGAGCAGTGCGCTCCTGTCTGCAGTGTGTAGTCTCTTACTGTGAGAGCCACCTCCGGCCTCATTATGACGCTGAAGCTCTGCAGGATCACCAGCTGGTGGCGCCGGGCAGCCTGAGGGACAGTGTGTGCACGCTGCACAAGAGAGTGAAGGAGCTGTTCTGTAGCTCAGACCAGACTCTGCTGTGCACGCTCTGCTCCATTGCAACACACCGTGATCACCACCTGACCACGGCGGCCGCAGAGAGAGCTCTGAGACAGCCTGAGCTGCAGAAGAGAGAGAGGCCACGCTCCAGCAGATCCAGAGCACAGAGTCTGAGCTGGAGCTGCTCAGCCAGGAGGCCCTGACCATCCAACGCTCTGCCCAGGACGCAGTGCAGCGCAGCGGGGACAGCCTCGGTCAGGTCACCCTCCTCCTGGAGCAGACACGCACCGAAGTGGAGCAGCAGATCAGGGCCCAGCAGCGGACACTAGAGGGCGCTGTGGCAGAACGTCAGGAGGAGCTACAGCGAGAGCTCACAGAGCTGAGGAGGAGCCTGGTGAAGATGGACTCTGTGGCTCTCTCTCCGGATCATTATCAGTTCCTCAGACTCTATCCAGGACTGAAGCACTGTGAGGTCCAGCGCTCTGCATGGACTTGGACCAGTCCCGAATCCCACTTTAAGGATCTAACAGACTCTGTGACTGCGCTCTCCAAAAGACTACAGCGGGTTCTGGACCTGGGTGAGGACCCAAAACCCTCTGTCTCCAGATCCCAAAGTAAAGTCCAGAGCCTCCTGCAGCATGTCCAGCTCAGCAGCAGAGAGGACTTCCTCAAATACTCCACAGAGATCCTCCTAGACCCGAACACAGCCCACACAGAGCTGGCCCTGTCCGACGGAGAGCGCAGAGTGACTTATCAGGGCATCAGCTTCATTTACCCAGAACACTCTGATCGTTTCAGTGACTGGAGGCAGGTGCTGAGCCGACAGGCGCTGACAGGGCGCTGCTATGTGGAGGTGGAGTGGAGCTCAAAGGAACAGCTCAGCGTGTCTCTGTCCTACAGCCAGATCCAGAGGAAAGGACGAAGCATCAAAAACCTGTTCGGACACAACGATCATTCTTGGGCCTTATACTGTGACCAGAACAAGTACTCCTACTGGTTTAATGGAGAAGAAACCAAGGTGTGTGGACCGGTCACGAGGAGAATCGGGGTTTACCTGGACCACGGCGCAGGGGCTGTGACGTTTTACAGTGTGAAGGACCAATCCATGAACCTGCTCCACAGAGTCCAGACCAGCTTCTCCCAGCCTCTGCTCCTTGGGTTTGGTCTCTTTGGGGTGTTCACAGGAGCCACTGCAGCCCTGCCGACACTCGGAGGAGAACTCAGAGCCTAGATTATGTCAAATGGACTCTTGTGAGCTATAAGTCAGTAAGTGTTGTTACCTCATCAGAACATACCTGGAGTTGTGTTTCCTATCATTCACACACGTTTGAATGATGCTTTATTATCATTATTCATCTGTCCACATCTCCAAAGCTCAAAATGCTCTGTTCCACCTTGTGATGTCATGAAGCGGTAGTTTTCGAGTTAACAGCAAAACAGTTTTCAGTTCGAGAGAAGAACTCATCTTAAATGTGCAGGGTTTGTGTGTTAAACGTGTCAATGAAACAAAACACAGCTCCAGGTCCGTTTGTGATGAGGAAACATTTGAAGTACCTGCACACTCTAACTACTGTCACTTTGCTTCTGCCCAGGAACCACCCATGAACATTTACTTGTAGCTAAATCTGGTCTGTGCAGTATATTTATTGTGCAATGTCTCTGTCAAAAAAAGCAACACAAACAAAAAAACTAAACAAAACAGATCAGAATATATTGTAATTTGTATTACTTTGCCTTGAATGTTCCATGGTGGTATGATATTAACAGTGTTGGGGAGTAACAGATTACATGTACTGGAGTTATGTAATCAGAGTACAAATTATGAGTAACTGTAATCAGTTACAGTTACTGTTTCAGTGAGTGGTAATTGGATTACAGTTACTTTGTTGAAATAAATGGATTACAGGGTGGTATTTTCCTGTTTTCACATTTGGGGCTAAACCAGGACTAAACCAGGACTTAAACCAGGACTAAACCAGGACTAAAGCAGGACTAAACCAGGTCTAAACCAGGACTAAAACCAGGACTAAAACCAGGGACTAAAACCAGGACTAAACCAGCAGGACTAAAACCAGGACTAAAACCAGGACTAAACCAGGGACTAAACCAGGACTAAAACCAGGACTAAAACCAGGACTAAACCAGGTCTAAACCAGGACTAAAAAACCAGCAGGACTAAAGCAGGACTAAACCAGGTGACTAAACCAGGACTAAAACTAAAACAGGACTAAAGCAGGACTAAACCAGGTCTAAACCAGGACTAAAACCAGGACTAAAAGCAGACTAAACCAGGGACTAAAACCAGGACTAAAACCAGGACTAAAGCAGGACTAAACCAGAGACTAAACCAGGACTAAAACCAGACTAAAACAGGACTAAACCAGGAACTAAACCAGGACTAAAACCAGAACTAAAACCAGGACTAAAGCAGGACTAAAAGCAGGACTAAAGCAGGACTAAACCAGGTCTAAACCAGACTAAAACCAGGGCTAAACTAATACAACATGACACTTAACAGTAGGTGGACATAACTGAAGGCAGCAGTGATTTCATATAAAAATCATTTCTCTATCAATAATATTTTTTATATGGTCAAATAAAGACTGAACAAACATGAATTTTCAGGATGTGGATTATGTTATTCAGATTACGTTACTACTTTTTGGGATATGTAATCTGTAATCTGTAGGGGAATACATTTTAAAAGTCACCTTCCCAACACTGGATATTAAACATTTCCATCTACCATTTATTCCCTACAGGTGTTTCTATAGCTCAAAAATACGATAATTCCTTCTGCGACTAGGGGCGACTCTCCACAGATCTGACTTGTAACGTTGCGTAGTGCTGTAACCTGCTCGTCTCTCTTGTGATAGATTTAATAGGTTTAATCTATACTGTGGAACATTCTAGACAAAGCAATAACATTTCCATGGAGACAAACAGGTGACGGATCCTATTGATACTTTGCAGCTGATGCCACCGACATTCCCTGAGTGTGTGATGCTAAATGTAGGCACTGCTCTGTCTGAAGTTGTTACTCAAGTTACTTTAATCTGACCTTTAATTTATTTAACACAATCTGACCTGAAAGAACTGATTTAAAAGGGAACTACAATAACTGCGCTGATTTGTGCTGTTAAACAAAAAACATTACAGTCACAAGCATTATTCTTTATGTTGAAAATCAAACTTCTACATGTGCACTTTAAATCCATTTTGTATTTTTTCTTTCAGCAATATTAAAACATTTCTGACAGTGTTTGCTCATGTGTGCGTTGTTTTGTTTCAGTCTCAGTCTTGATCCTGTTAGATCTGAGTGCTGCTTTTTACGACGGAGTATAAGGGTCAGATAAAAAAAAACAACAAACATGCTGGCGCTATGAGAATAAAGTCGTAACATTTTGACATTAAAGTCGTAATATTATGAGAATAAAGTCGAAGCCAGAAAAAGTCGTAATTTTACGAGAATAAAGTCGTAATTTTATGAGAATAAAGTCGTAGTCAAAATAAAGTCATAATATTAGGAGAATATCGGCTGCTCGGAAAGTCTGAACGAGTGGAGAATGGAGAATTTGGAGCATTTTGTAAAGGAGAAGAATCCGTGTATCATTCGTTCATTCGACTGAACAAGGACTGAATCAGGACTAAATCAGGTCCGGAACCAAACCAGAAAGACCAGGACTGAGACCAGGACCAGACCAGGACTGAAAACGGTTTAATCCTAGTTTAGTCCTGGTTTAAGTCACGGAAATGGGAAATGGCGTTTACGTGACGTTAAAATGCGATGCGGGACTAATGCTCCACATACGGACTAAACTAGGACTGAACCAGGACTGAACCAGGACTAAACCGTTTTCAGTTCTTGTCTGATCCCGGTCTCAGTCCTTGTCTAAGTTCTGGTCTCAGTCCCGGTCTGGTCTCATTTAGTCCTGGTTTAGTCCAGTCCTGGTTCAGTCCTGGTTCAGTCCGGAGGCGCAAATAACGAAGAAAATTGTTGTTCGTTTTCTTATTTTTAGTTTTATATTGAAAAACAAGGTTCTTCTTCTGCCGTATTTTTCACTTTGACTTTGATTTTATTACGACTTCATTCTCGTAATATTATAACTTTATTCTCATAATATTACGACTTTATTTTAGCTTCGACTTTATTCTCGTAAAATTACAACTTTATTCTCGTAAAATTATGACTTTTTTTGGCTTCGACTTTATTCTCATAATGTTACGACTTTATTCTCGTAGCGCCAGCATTTTTTTTTTTTTATCTGACCCTTATACTCCCTCGTAGCTTTTGACTCTGTTGATCGTGGGATCCTCTTACAGAGACTAGAGGACAGGATGGGCATCTCTAGTACTGCACTAAACTGGTTCAAGTCCTATCTAGAAGACAGGAAGTATTTTGTTGAAATTGTAAACTGTGTCTCAGATCACATGGCCCTGACCTGTGGGGTTCCTCAGGGGTCGATCCTGGGCCCGCTTTAGTTCAATCTCTACCTGTTGCTGTTAGGACACATTATTGTTGCGTATTAACTGACCTAACATAACTCTGCAGACGACACTCAGATCTACGTTTCGCTGCAGTGGGGGACTATGGACCAGTGGACTCACGCTGCCACTGCGTCCAACAGATCAGAGTGTGGAGGCAAAACAATTTTCTCCAGCTAAACTCAGACAAGACTGAAGTCATAGTGTTTGGTCCACAGAAACAAAGGGACAGTGTCAGCAGTCACCTCCAGTCTCTCTCTCTAAAACCTTCAAATCAAAAACATCTGCAGCCTTTTACCATCTAAAAACAGCAAAAGTCACAGGTATAGTGTCTAAATCAGACTTGGAGAGACTTATCCATGCGTTTGTCTTCAGTAGGTTAGACTCCTGTAACGGCCTCTCACTGGTCTCTCCAAACGAGCTGTGAGACGCTGCAGAACATCCAGAACACCGCAGCTCGAGTTCTGACTCCAACCAGGAAGTACGAGCACAAGTGTCTGTGCTCAGGTCTCTGCACTGTCCCCTGTGGATCACAGACTTTAAAGCAGCTCTTCTTGTGTACAAGTCTCTCCACGACCGAGCACTAAAGTCCATCTGTGACATGTTAGTGCCACATGAACCATCCACACTCTTGAGGAGCTCAGGGACCAACCTCCTGCTGGTGCCCAGAGTCACGACTAAACACAGGGAGTCAACGTTTACGGTTCATGCAGCTAAAACCTGGAACAGTCTGAACATGAGACAGAATCTACTCTGACTCTGTTTTAATCCAGGCTCCGTTTCGCTGTGTCTAATTTAATGTTTCTCACTCTTTTTAATTTTATGATGATTATTTATGTTTTGATTTGTTTTTATGGTAATTTAAATTGATTTCTTATTCTGTAAAGCACTTTGAATTACTTTGTGTACAAATTGTGGTATACAAATAGACTTGCCTTGGCTTGTTGTGTCCCCATGGTAACTGCTGAACAAAGCATTTTGAGCTTTAGAGATGTAGGCAGATAATGCAGGATTACGCATTCTAACTTGGCTTAAAGCTCACAGAAGTCAAATCTGTGTAATAGGCTGTAGGACCTTTAACAGTTCCCAAAATCTGTTACACCTTCACCTATTTTGCTCATGAATTTGTTCTTTCACCAAACAAAATGAAGGACTTTTTCCATCACTGCCTGTCAGTAATAATGTTAAATGATTCTAAGACCTAAAAAAAACCCCAAACACTCCTCACACTCCTGAGATGTTTTGTTTGTTTTGGAAATTGTTTCGTTCCCTTCCTCTGTGGTCACACGACACGGCTGCTTCACACAGGTCCAAGAGGCAGGACAACAGCGCCACCTGCAGTCGCTTTTCTACAGGAGAGTCAAACACAAAACCAACAAAAACTCTAGTCTAAAGAATCTCATAGAATAAATTATCCAAAAAAAAGTAACAGAAACATGACACTTTTTCAGTTACATTTTTTAACGGAAAGTCGAGGAAGAGATGGTAATTCCAGTGATTTTGATACAGAAACTCAACAGATTTAAATATGTTGAATGACACAGTTTTAACCACACGAAAAGGACTGTTTAAAGATGCACTATGTAACTTTTTCTGCTGAAGGCTCAGTTACCTGCTTGTCTCCATTAAGACTATGTCGCTTTGCCTGGTCTGTTCTACACCACGAAGATGTTCAATGCCAAAACTGTGTGACTTTTCAGGCAAAGCAGTATCGTTTCCATGGATGCAAGCGGATAGCAGACGCCAGAAAAGTTCCACAGTGCACTTTTAAAGGCACTGTACCTGATTTTTTTCCCTATATGTTTGAGCAAAATGTGTCTTGTCTAGTACAGATAGATTGTATACGCAGCTCTTGAGGTCAAAATAAGTCAGTCATGTACGTTCTGCATCTAATTATAAAGCGTTTTATTGTCCAGTGATCAGGAAGTGCAGCGTTAGTATGCTAGTTGCTTTTATCCAGTGATTTGTCTCAGTTTTATACAAGAAATGCTCCAGGTGTCCATATTTTTGCCCAATTTTAAACCCACCAACAGCAAAGAGAGGAATATTGTATTGAATGTGTCTGTACCTCAAATACCCCAAAAAAGCCAAAAACTGAGCTTGGAAATGAGAATAAAGAAAAAAAAAATGCAGTCAGTTGCAAGTCCACCAGATTATGACTTCAAAATGGACAATGTTACGCACTCTTCTCACACAAGTCTCTATTCACGCTTACGTCACAGAGCAGGAAGACGTTTAGAAACATGCGATGACAACTTCCGGACATAGTAAATCTGACAAAATCTAGAAAAAATTTTGAAAATGTCCAGGTTTTCTTCATCTCCATGTCACTGTAGCGTCCCGTTATATTCGGGTAATCAACAATTACAACGGCACCTCAGTTTTCATCATTTCCCCACTGATGCACAACTCCGAGCGTGATTAGAAGAGTTGGGATGTGGGACGCATCCCAGTGGGATGCATCTATTGACAAAGCCGAACTTTTCAAGTCTTTTGAACCATATCACTTTTGTTTCTGGTTCTGACATTGTTATATTTTAGTTTTGGGATTCGGACATTTTAATTGTGTGGTTGTTGGATCCTAACAGCGGAAAACAGCTCAAGAAATTTGTTTGTGAACTTCATAATTGCAAAAAGGAAACAGCTCTGTATGACTGCAAACCTCCGTTCAAAATGTTTCCGTTCGCAAGGGAATTGAAAAATAGTGAAAGGCGAAGGCAATGGGCAGGATTGATCCACAGGAAGGACCAAAACGGAAACCTTTGACTGTCTAAATCATCCCGAGTTTGCAGAGAACATTTTGTTGTGGAGTGCCAAAGCAAAATCCCACTGATTGCAGTCACACAGATCTGATTCCTTTTTGCATTTATGGAGTTCGCAAACAAATTCTCGAGCCGTTTTCCGCTGTTAGGATCCAACAACCACACAATTATGATGTCTGAATCCCAAAACTAAAATATGACAATATCAGAACCAGAAACAAAAGCGATATGGTTCAAAAGACTTGAAAAGATCGACTTTGTCAATAGACACATCCCACTGGGACAAGTGATGCTCACTTTTTTGGAAAATCCTTCCCAGTATAAATTGTGCAATGACCAGAAATCCAAAATTCATGATGCATCTATAGAGCTTATTGTATTCGTACCGACCAACCCAACCCGTGTACATCCCAGTTTTTATTTTTAAAACGTGGTAGCTTTACTTTTAACAACAAGACTCCGCTCTTGTCTTTGAAAGTTGTGAAAATCGCTTATAAACTCATCGTGGTGAATAATCAGGACGCTCTGAATGTATAAGGTAAGTGAGGGATAACTTTGGGCCACTGCAAACTGTTTCAACTCAAAAACTAAAAGTCAGGTACAGCGCCTTTAAATTAGAGCGAAAGATGAGATTCACTGTTGACTGAAAAGATGAAATTGGGTGGGTAGAGCAGGCCACTTGTGATCACAAAACAAAACAAAACAATTATCTGCTCCTTCACAAAGAATCCAGCCACAATTTTAAGAGTGTTTCCCCAAAGTAAAAAAATAAAAGACAGCTTCGAAAAAGAAAGTTAAACACTCAGAGACAAATCAAGAAGCAATTCAGTACAGGAAGGAGGGAAGCTGGAGTTAAAGGTGCACTGCGTAACTTTTCCGATGGAGGCTCTGCAGATTTGATTGCTTTGCCTGGAATGTTCCACAGTATAGCGTAAAAAGTTATAAAGATTTTGTGTTAATTTTGTTTTGGGTTTTTTTTTGTTAAGGTTTATACTCCTGAAAAATACCTTGAGCCACCTTGGGCTTGCCTTTCCATAGATCTTGACTTGTAGCTTGGCCTGGTTGGACCATCTTCTCAACCAGTTTGATACACTGATATACTGTGGAATATTCTACGCAAAGTGATGCTGTCTCCATGACGACATACCCTCCGCCAGAAGAGTTATACAGTGGACTTTTTAAGCCCAAAATTATGTCAGTGAATATATTTTCTACTTACACAAATAGACGCATTTTAATCAAGTTCTTGACGCTGAAAAAGTAATCATTTTGGGCTTAAAAGATGCACTATGTAACTTTTCTGGTGGAAGGACTGCCACCTGCTGGTCATGGAATGTAACCGTTATGTCCACAGTTTGGCCTTAAAGGTTGTATATAGGATTATTATTTTTTGTTTCAAATTGTCGATGAAAGTTCAAAATAGAATTATAGAGACGCAGCAGCCTTGTAATTATGATGACAAAAAAAAAAAAGAATGAAAATCTATCAGCTTTGGACGTGGTGGGGGCAGATACACATCAGCCAATAGATAACAAGGCTACCTCTTTATCTATTGGTTGTTGGGTTGTCAATCAATCTCCCTACGTTTCTAGCGTCACTGACTTGCCGGCGCACTGGGATCACGTGGTTTACGTTCGCCTCGCACACATTGATGCTGTTTACTCAACCAAAAGAGCGGTTCTTAGCGTCTTTTTCGAACTGTAGCTTCCTCTCAGTTTGCACAAAGTTTGTGGTAACGGCAGAGAAAAATCAACGACCAGTTCGCCGCAAAAGAAAGTCTGTTTATGACGTCGCTGAAAGAAGAACAGAAGAGGAAGAGGAGCGAAGCGCAACATTTGAAAAACAGTCGCTGCATTTCTCTTTCATTGGAAAATTGTCTATACAACCTTTAAATCTCCACGGGGACAGGCTGATGGCACCATGAGGCCAACTTTTACAGGTCAGATCTGCGGAGAGGTGGCCGCGCTGACAGTAAGAATGCATTTAAGCAATACAAATATCTGCAATGAAATACTGTAGATGTAAGATATGTTTCATGCCGTACAGTGGAACATTCCAGGCCATGCTACAACCTCCCCATAGACTCAAAAAGTTACGTAGGGCGCCTTTAAACAGGGATGGGACGAGACAAACATCACCAGATTAATTCCATGAGGAGTAGAAGATTTTGACGCAATTTATATCTATGAACTAATTAAGTATTTGTATTTATTTTATGTAATACTTGGCGGTAGTGTTGTCAAATTTCAAACTCAATTTCGATACTAAAGAAGTAAACAACAGAATGTGGTTTTCAGCATTAAACTGTAGTACTTTCTTTTCTATTCCCAAGTGGTCTGTGTAAAGCTCAAGCTCAACTATTCAGGAAAGCTTCACTTCTGTCCTGTCAGTGGGACTTTCTTAGTATCAGTACCTGACTATCTAGTTTTGATACTAGCTTTAGTATCGATTACCGTATTTTTTGGACTACAAGTCGTGCTTTTTTCATGGTTTGGGTGGTCCTGCGATATTTCGGTGCGACTCATATATTAATTTTCAGTCCGACAGCCGTGAGAGGCTCTAGGCTTGTGTGTTAGTATCTAGTACTACTATTACTCCTGTACCACTGTCACTTTGTGCTCTACTGCGCATGCCTCCTGTCCTGCTGCAAGTAGTGAAATCTGCAGGCGAAAAGGGTAATCGAGCAGCAGAAAAAAGTTTGGAGTGAGCGAGAAACTTGTGAGGGACTGGCGGAAAGTGTAAATGGAGAACACAGCTTCACCGTAACCGGGTGGATGCTCCATGAAACTTTCCTGGAAGTCACTGGATGGATCGACAAAGCCTGAACTTCAAAGACAATCGAAACCATCCTGTTGGGATTCAGAAAGGCCAGAATAATTCTAACTGGAACTGATGCTGAGTTTGATGACAGCGACACAGAAGAGGAAGTGGTGCTCCATTTACCTCATGGATCTATGGTTTATCTCTGGAGGTCGCACAGAAGTGACACCGAGGACGAAGAGTTCAATGACTTCAATGATTTGGAGTGAGACTGTGAGTTTGGTAAACTTATGTTCTATTGTTTATGCTATATTATCTGAATAACTGTTCATTTGTGACGTTAACATTCTGTTGTTCTCTGTTCTATTGTTTTTACTAGAACTTGACTTTCAAGATGAAATGTCAGTTCCTGGTCTCTGATTTTATAAAATACATTTCCTCAGAAAGTGCAACTTATAGTCCGGTGTGACTTATATATGTTTTTTTCTTCTTCATTATGCATTTTTTAGCTGATGCGACTTATACTCCAGAGCGACTTGTAGTCCAGAAAATACGGTAGTACCTGATAATCGATACTTTTGACGACCCTACCAGCTCCTAAAGGTGCACTGTGTAATTTTCTGGTGGAGGGTCCTCTCTCTCCATGATGCTTTTCTCCATGGAGATGTTATTGCTTTGTCTGGAATGTTTCACAGTATAATATTAAACCTTTCTATTTTCACAAAGACCAAACCAGACCAAGTTACAGGTCAGATCTGTGGAGAGGCAACCCCGCTCACAGTCAGAATGCCAGTTTTTCTAGGTATTTTTGACCTCTAAACCATCAGCAACAGAATAAATATCATTCTGTGGAACATTCCAGGCAGATCAGTGATATATCCATAGAACTAAGCAGGTGATGGACCCTGAACCAAACAGTTACCTAGTGCACCTTTAACTCTTTTTCGTCCAAGTTAAATGTAAATTCAATGGAAGAAAAACAAAAAAACTAAAGTGATAATTTTTTCTAATGTGTGGCAATTTTGTCTCACGAGATCTTGTCCCATCCCCGACCTTCACCCCAGCTCTCTCCAAACACAGTGCTTCAAACATATTAACATTTGTACAATCTTTAGAAAACTTCACATTAAAAGTCCCTCGGTTCAGTTCATTCTGGAGTTTTTCTGTTTTTGTTTTATCCAGTTGGCTTCCTCTCAGTAAAACCTCTTGTTTCGTTCCTGCCTCTTTTGGAAGACGACGGCTCCCACCACAGCACACACCACGATGCCCAGCAGAGCGCACAGTAACAGCAAAAACACCTTCCACCCGGTCAGGGGGGTCCCGCGGAAGTTACCCGTCGGATCGTCGATGTTGTCTGGAAAAAGAGGAGACGAGCCGGAGTGAGAGAGAGACGGAGGGAGGGAGAGAGACAGAAAGAGAGACGGGGAGAGTGAGAAAGAGACAGAAAGTGAGAGTGAAAGAATTAGACAAAGGGTAGAGAGAATAGACAATAATTGTATGGATCTATTAAAATAAGTGGATAGAGTATTGCTTAGAACTGTATCAAGTTAGTGTAATGCCCACTTATTAGAACCACAGCGAAAAAATCTCTCCTGCCCAGAAAGGATTTTTCCCCTAGAGCGCAATGTAATCACAAACCTCTCGTGTTTAGCTGACAGGGCATCTATAGTTTTCAAAAGAGTCAGGATTTTGATAGTTTTTACTTATATTCAGAACATAAACTCTTTTCTCAGCTCAAAATCTTTCAATGCTTTAAACGTGACCGATGCTCTGACTGGTCAGAGTGGTCATGTGGTACTCAAATGTTGCCGTCTGTCCACACTAGGGATGGGCATGATTAGTCGATTAATTGATAATTGATCATTAAGAATTTCATCGATTACGTTCATTTTAATAAACAAACCGAATGTAGGTTGCTGTGTGTAGTGTAGGGTGACCAAACAGGTCTGTACACGTGTCTCTCGGCACTCAGAAGGAGCGAGACACAAACAGTCGGTCAGTCTGCAACGTACCGAAGCACAAATGTGTATTTAACGATGACTTTTACAAGAAATTCCATGCTTTCTGTTTCGGTCAGGTGTGAGGCCATGTGCACAGTGAAGCAGCACATTTGTTTCGGTGTCCAGTGGGAAAAAGTTCACCAGAACCCCTAAAACATGAAAAAGTTTTGCCAGGTGAGAGTAGCTCAATGTCGATGACGAGGCTCCACCTCCCACCTCCCGTACGGTGTCCTGGTTTTGACAAATGCAAATATGGCCACACTAACCTGTATTCCACTGAGTCGTGTTGCATCAGCGCACAAGAGCTGTTTTTTTTCTTTTCTTAGTTTATGCAAATTAGCAATGTGGTTTTAAGTTTTGTTTCTGTGAGAGTTGCGCAAATCTGCATTAAACACATTATAATAAACGGGCTGATGTGGCTCTAGAGTGGTTACGGTTTATATGTCGTAAAGTTGAATTTATTTATGCAGATTAGTAGTGCAGATAGTAATAATAATGATGATAATTTTTATATAAAAAACATTAATGATTAATTGATTGTTAATTCTCCTGACGAACGATTAAGAAAATGTTATCGAATGCCCATCCCTAGTCCACACACTACTGCGCATGCTCAGAGGTCAGGAGAGCCGCTGGATGTATAACCGCTAAAGCCTAATCTAGAGACATGCACCACTGAGCTGCCATGTTAAGGCTCTGGAGCTTGACTGTGGCTCTGTGGCGCCCTCCTGTGGCTCACCTTTGGGGGACTTGAGCAGACTGACGCTGGGCTCGATCTTGGTCCAGTCCAGGTTCTCCTCTTCTGGGCTGTGCTCCACCATCAGCTGGTACAGCTTCATCGAGATGATGTCATGATTATCTGGAAAACAAAATAGAAAATTAAAGGTTTGTTCAAGGTCCCAGTCATCACACAGTTCCATTCAAGAGTTTTAGAACACCACACTTTTTCCAGTTTTTCACTGTTTGCTGTTGAACAAAACTTATTCTAAACTTTTGATTGATGTGTGTGTCCACCTTTGTCAGATAGAACAGCTGAACACACTCGTGGCTCCTTCTTTTGTACAATAGAAATCAAATATTGTTCAGAAAGTCTGTTGCAGAAGTTCCATAAATGTGTGGCTCTTGTAGGTTGCTTCACTCTTCTGTCCAGTTCATCCCAAACCAGCTCCATGGGGTTTAAGTCTGGACACTGTGCTGCTGGACACTCCATGTTTTCAAGCTTTACCATCTTGTTCTTTTTTCCTGAGGTAGTTTTGGCAGAGCTTGGACTTGTGTTTTATCTTTTGTCTTTTTTTAACCTCTGTCTGTTCAGTTCTTACCTTTGTATCATTTCAAGTTCTTCATTGGACTTGCACGACTTGAATTGCAGTAAATAACTGGAAAAATTAGGATGTTCTAAAACGTCTGACTGGTAGTGTATAATTAATAAAATTGTACAAATTTTAGGATTAAAGTAAATAATAATAGATTTTTTTCACTTATTTTGTACTTACCGGACAGATCTCCAGTGGCAGCAGAGGCTCCAAAGTAGTATCCTGTGGGCAGTCGGACTCCTCCAATGTCAATGCACTCCTTCCATTCATTTTTGTCGTCCACGTCCACCATCACCTGAAACACAAATGTGATCTGTAATTACAGGGTCTATCTGCATGAAAGAAACACTGACACAAAGTTCATCATCATCATCTCTGTCAGTATAAATAAACAAAAGTGAAATGATTTGATTCACAAAAGCTTCGAAAAGTGGTGCCTTTATTCAACACCAAGAATGTGATTGCTGTCAGTTAAAAAGACTTCAGTTGTATCTGGTACCGTGAGTCGTCCTTTGGAGTATCTGATGGCGACGTACGTATCATATTCTCTGTTCCTGATTTCAGCCGAACATCCTCCGAGCTCCGAGGAGCGGCCATCTTTACCGTGATCATAACTCACTGAGCCGTTATTCACCATGGCCGAGATGAATGGAAACGAACGCTAAACAGAAGAGGAGAGAAAGACAAAGTTAGACAGCACAGTGTGTAAAGAGCTCCTGAAAACATTGAAGATGTAAAATGAGACTGCGTTCAGACTTTCAGACTACAGATAAACTGATTCATATTGATCTATCTCTAGAAGTATCTCTACACTAATGGGGATCATCAGGATTAAACTGGACTCACACCAGGACCAAACAATAAGAAAAAACAGGACCAGTGCAAAACATTACCAAAAGGTAATGGTAAAAGTTCACAAGTTTTCTCATGAGTACAAGTTTACAGTAATTGATTTAATCATAGAGCTAAACACCGACACACAAAACATAAAATATGCAAAAATAAAAAGGTAATTCCTTTTAAAACAAAGATGACATCTCTTCACTGAGGTTCAAGAATGAAACACAATGTGAGTGGACCATTAACCACAAGGAGCACAAATAACCACTTAAAGTCTACATACAAAACACAAACCCAAACTCCAGGTAGGTTTTATGATGAAATCTTTAAAGAGGGAGTATTTTATTTCTATGTGGTATTAACTGCTAACACATCCCATATTTAGATCACTGTGTTACCTTTTCTTGTTTTGAAAATGCTATATTCACCAAAAATAATGTATCAACATGATTCATAAATTTCACTTTCATTTTTGACACTCTTGAGTTCCCCCTCCTTTTGCTCTTTGCACTAAGTCACCCCTCCTTCAGAGCAGTATCAGCACAATTGGTGTGTATTTAGCTAATGGAACTATTGCACATCACATCAGGTGTGTGAAGTTGGAGTGTACAATTTTATATGATGTTTTTGTATATTTATGGAGAACTGTGGGCTTGCGGGTGGAGCATTGGACAGACTCTTACAGCTAACCTTAAGGAGAATATGAACAGGGCCCAAGAGAGATCACTAAAATACTGAACCATGCATGGATGACATCTAAACCTCTTCAGGCAGGTTTTTGATGAGACAACAATGTTATAACATTATAAAAAGCTCCAAAAAGACTTTGCATAATACCCCCTCTTTAAAACAAAACCCAACTGCAGGCGTGTTGGTGTTTTTGATGAAGAAACGTTTTAACATGGATAAAAGAATATTACATTTTCTATAAAAGACTTTGAAATTTTATGTTTCTTTTCGCACATAAAAATGATAAACAATAATAAAGGATGGTGTTTGGAGCATGCTGTGAAAAAAACCTGGTCCCAGACTCACGTCGGAGGTCTCGTCATTAGAGTAAGTGTCTATAAACACGGCCAGTCCGTGAAATTGGGCTTTGTTGGAGAAGACGGGTCCTGCAGAGACAGAGTCACACACACACACACACTTACATCCATGCCATGGAGGTCGTTACGGAACGTGTCCACAAATAAAGCCAGTCCATTGAATTTATCCTGGTTCCCAAAGACAGGGCCTGAGGGTGGAGACGAGCACACATGAGCCACAGACAGCAGGGGGCGGCAGCAAGCAAGTAGAGCTGGGCAATATCTATTCAGTATTAAATATTAATTTATTATTACCGTATTTTCCACAGTATAAGGCGCTCTGGATTATAAGACGTCATTAAATGGTCTATTTTCAAACTTTTTCACAAATAAACCACACCGGACTTTAAAGGAAACACAACAGTTTGGGTCAGTGGGACTTTGTTTGGTGCGTTCACGGTGACTCTGGGCTTTGTTCAGTTGTGGTGTGTAGGGAGGGTGCTGTCTGGGACCACTGGATTGTCGACGTGTTCGCAGTGACTCAGTTGTTCAGTTGTGTCTAGAAGTGGCACACTGCACTCGCTTTTTCGGTTCGTTCTTCTGTTCCGTTCCTCGTCGGCGTGGAGTGATGAGTGTGTCTGTGGGTGTTTTTCACCGCGCGGTCACTGTCTGCTCCGTGTGTGTTTGCGTGTTCTGCGGGTGGTGCGGCTTTGTAGTTTACTGAAGTCATGCTGGGACACCTGAGTGGATTCGTGTACAGGGCGCTCTGGATTGTGGGGCGCATGGTCATTTTTTGATGGGGTTGGAGGCTTAAGAGCGCGCCCAATGGTGCGAAAAATACGGTAGTTTGTTTTGTTCCAACATTTTTTCCCCATTTAATATTGTAACAATCTATAAATGTCTAACTTTTTTAAAAACAGATTTCCTCTACGACTTCTCTAACCTGTGCAAAATGGTCACAATTTTCTGACACTTTAATGATCAGACCCTGTATAAATGGACATAACTAACCTGCCGTGTTCTAAATAGGAAGTGAGCATGGGCACACTTCCTATTTAGAACTTCCTTAGAGAGGGGTGAGGTTTTTTCACTTCATATTGAAAAAACGTCACCTCTCTCTCTGTACCTGCTGCTGTCAGACTCATTATTTTGGTCTTAAAATGTTCGTATTAACCCGCTCTACATGATCCGGCCTTTTTACTTCACTATTTGTCCGTAAATATGTTTGTATTCCTAATATGGATCTCGGGTTTAAATTCCCCCCTATAACTGCCAGCCTCAACAAGCTCCATTTGACTGGAGCCAAATGCTATGGGTGACATCCATTTATCTTATATTGTATTGACTTATAAATTAATAATATCATACTGCCAGAACAAAATGGAATAGTTGTACATATTGCTCAGCTCTAGTTGACACTGAACAAATCAACATGGACAAAATAAAACATACAGCGCAAAATAAGAAGATGATAAACAGTAAATGACTTATATTTTCATTCACAAAAACAACACACTTTAGACGAGGTGAATAAGCAGCGTGTAATGACATGTATTCAGATCAGATGCATCGCGACGCACACAGACGCATACCTGGGTGCAGCCGGTCTCTCGTGTACCAGATCGCGATGCCGTCTCCGTGGAGATTCTTCTTCCCCGAACCGTGAACTTTGAACTGGACGTGCATCTCCCAGTCCTTCAGGTAACACGGCTGCAGCCAAAAAGAAGGAAACAAAAATATCAGTGATTTATTTCAATTAGATAAGGAGCAATACAAAAGGCAGACATAACAGTTAAAAACCTGGTAGGTCAACAATTGGTAGGCAAAATGGTAAAGTAAGTAATAAAGTAATAAATAATAGATGTATCAAGAATTTCGGACTTCCGGTCATTGTGCAGTGCATACTGGGAAGGATTTTCAGAAAAAGTGAGCATCAAACCGTCATGTTTGTTTTCCCAGTGGGATGCGTCTATTGACAAAGTCGATTTTTCAAGTCTTTTGAACCATATCACTTTCGTTTCTGGTTCTGATATTGTCATATTTTAGTTTTGGGATTCGGACATTGTAATTATGTGGTTGTTGGATCCTAACAGTGGAAAACGGCTCGAGAAATTTGTTTGCGAACTCCATAGATGCAAAAGGGAATCAGATGTGTGTGACTGCAAACCTCTGTTCAAACTGTTTCCCTTCACAACGGAATTGAAAAATAGTGAAAGGTGAAGGCGATGGGCAGGATTGATCCACGGGAAGGTTGAAAAAGGAAACCTTTGACTGTCTAAATCATCCCGAGTTTGCAGCGAACATTTTGTGTGTGGAACATCAACAAAGTAAACTCTCGATCCCTCACTCAACCTTTGTTATGAACTTAAAAAGTCAATGCCAAAGCGAAAGGCACCAGCTGTTCACCAAGAAACACCTTCCACTGCAAAGAGACCAAGACGTGATGTTTCTGTAAAACTACAAGAACAAGAAAGTGTGAGCTCAGTCTGTTTTGGCCTAAGTCATTGCTTTGATGGCGATGATTTAGGGAGTCAAAGGTTTCCTTTTTGGTCCTTCCTGTGGATCAGTCCTGCCCATCGCCTTCACCTTTCACTATTTTTCAATTCCGTTGGGAAGAAAAACAGTTTGAACAGAGGTTTGTAGTCACACACATCTGATTCCCTTTTGCATTTATGGAGTTCGCAATCAAATTTTTCAAGCTGTTTTCCGCTGTTAGGATCCAACAACCACACAATTACGATGTCTGAATCCCAAAACTAAAATATGACAATATCAGAACCAGAAACAAAAGTGATATGGTTCAAAAGACTAGAAAAGATCGACTCTGTCAATAGACACATCCCACTGGGAAAACAAACATGGAGGTTTGATGCTCACTTTTTCAGAAAATCCTTCCCAGTATGTATTGCTCAATGACCAGAAGTCCGAGATTCTTGATACATCTATAAAGTAATAAAAAGTAATAATAGAAAAGTGGTAATAGAAGAGTTGTACAAGGTCCATCCCCAGCTTAGACTGTAGAAAGACATGGACTAAGGGAATATGACGTCCCCATAGCGTTCAGCTCCAGTCAAATGAAGCTGAGGCTAGCAGTTAAAGGAGCAAATTTGGAGCAGAATCCATATTAGGAGTAGTTGATTTAAGGACAAAACAGTGAAATAAAAACACCAGGATCATGTAGAGCGAGTTAATATGAACATTTTAAGATCAAAATGTGGAGCCTGACAGTAGCAGTTCAAGAGAGAGGGGTGAGGATTTTTCAATACAAAGTGAACTGGAGCCGGAGTTGATGGAGCTGGACGAGCCCCCGTGCTCACATCCTGTTTGGAACGCAGTGGCTAGTGGCTTAGCTATGTCCATGTTTACAAACGTTACATTGCATGAGAATTAATTTATTTAGCAACGTTACGGCGGAATCTTGCATACTGTTAGCACAAAAAGTACACAAAAACATAAGTGTGAATTAGAAATGCAACAATGAATGGACTAATTGAGACTAGTTGACTATAAAATATAATCCTACTCATATTTTGATGATAGTAATTGTTATCTAGGCAATATGAATTCTAATACACATACAAAAAGTGCTTTTATCACCAAGACCATAGCATGTCAAAAATGATTAAACTATTGCTTATTTTCATCAAAAATACACTTTATTTGTAAATGAACTCTGTCTAGAAGCTTTCAGCCACAAATTTAAACTGTATTTGGTTGATAATGTCTAAAAACTAACTGAATTGTCGACTGTTAAAATAATGGGTAGATGCAGCCCTAGTGTGAAGAATGTAGTGTTTTTACGAGCATTAACGAACATTGCATGTCCATTTTTAAAATTTACATTCACCAATGCAAAATAAACATCTTTTTGCATGTGCAAATCTTCTGGAATCCTGGTCTATAATTTGAATCTCTAGGACCATAGGTAGCCATAGCGATTAACTATTTAAAAGCAAAATATTTTACCACTGCTTTAATACTTTTGAGTGAAGAAAATACTCAAAATGTTGCATATAACAGGAAGTGTGCATCTAATCATGAAGCATTTTAATGTGTGATATTCAGAAAGTGTGCATTAGCATGTTAGTTGTTGTTAAGATTGTGAGTGCTTATAATAAATATCATTACCATGAATAATTAGGATGCACAGAATGTATTTAAGAGGGGAATAACGTTGGACTAGGGATGGGCATTCGATTAAATTTTCTTAATCGATCTTTGGGAGAATTAATGATCGATTATTGATTAATCATTAACGTTTTTATATAAAAAATTATCATTATTATTATTACTATCTGCACTATTAATCTGCATAAATAAATTCAACTTTACGACATATAAACCGTAACCACTCTAGAGCCACATCAGCCCCTTTGACATTATAATGTGTTTAATGCAGATTTGTGCAAGTCTCACAGAAACAAAACTTAAAACCGCATGGTTAATTTGCATAAACTAAGCAAAGAAAAAAAAAAAACAGCTCTTGTGCGCTGATGTGACACGACTCAATGGAAAACAGTTAGTGTGACCATATTTACATTTGTCAAAACCAGGACACCGTACGGGGGGAGGGAGGTGGGGACTCGTCATCGACATTGAGCGACTCTCACCAGGCAAAACTTTTTCCCACTGGACACTGAAATATATGTGCTGCTTTGTTCACTGTGCACATGGACTCACACTTGTCCCGAACGCAATGGAACGTGTGGAATTTTTTGTACAAGTCATCCTTAAATACGCTTTTGAGCTTTGGCACGTTGCAGACTGACCGACTGTTTGTGTCCTTCTGAGTGCAGAGACACATGTACAGACCCCTGTTTGGTCACACTACACACAGCAACCTACATTCAGTTTGTCGATTAAAATGAACGTAATCTATGAAATTCTTAATGATCAATTATCGATTAATCGACTAATCGTGCCCATCCCTACTTTGGACCACTGCAAACTGTTTAAAATGATCAAGTTTTGTTTTTCACGTTTTGGTACAGCGTCTTTAAGTGTGTTTACATCATGATCTGAACATAGTTGTATTAAGCCCAGAGCAGAGAGTGTTTTCTGACCACAGTGTTCCAAATGGAGCCTTGTTTGCTACGCTCGTCTGGAGTGAGTCGGACGTAAGAGCTGGTCACCAGAGTGCTGCCCCAGAAGTCCCACTGACTGCCCACACCTGCAGAGACACACAGGAACCACGAGGGTGAAAAACAGGGGCAACAGACAGGAGTGCGACAGGAATACAATCAGTCAAATGATAAATGCTAAATAGGGAGGGGGGAACACGTTTCACATCTGCTATCAGTAAACAAAAACTAATACTAAGCTTACAGATACAAGCTTTGAATAATCTAGCAAATACTTATTATAAACATATACTTAGTAGTAGTAGTAGTAGTAGTAGTAGTAGTAGTAGTTGTAGTAGTTGTTGTTGTTGTAGTAGAAGTAGTTGTAGTAGTAGTAGTAGTTGTAGTAGTTGTTGTAGCTGTTGTAGCTGTTGTTGTAGTTGTAATTTTTGTTGTAGTTGTTGTTGTTGTAGTAGTAGTAGTTGTAGTAGTTGTAGTTGTAGTAGTAGTTGTTGTAGTTGTAGTAGTAGTTGTAGTAGTAGTTGTTGTAGTAGTTGTAGTTGTTGTAGTAGTTGTTAGTTGTAGTTGTAGTAGTAGTTGTAGTAGTAGTTGTAGTAGTAGTTAGTTAGTAGTAGTAGTAGTTGTTGTTGTAGTTGTAGTAGTTGTAGTAGTAGTTGTTGTTGTAGTTGTAGTAGTTGTAGTAGTAGTTGTTGTTGTAGTTGTAGTAGTAGTAGTTGTAGTAGTTAGTAGTTGTAGTAGTTGTAGTAGTTGTAGTAGTAGTGTAGTTGTTGTAGTAGTTGTAGTAGTAGTAGTAGTTGTAGTAGTAGTTGTAGTAGTAGTTGTAGTAGTAGTTGTAGTAGTAGTTGTAGTAGTAGTTGTAGTTGTAGTAGTTGTAGTTGTTGTAGTTGTAGTAGTTGTAGTAGTTGTAGTAGTAGTTGATGTTGTAGTAGTTGTTTGTAGTAGTTGTAGTAGTTGTAGTAGTAGTTGTTGTTGTAGTAGTTGTAGTTGTAATAGTTGTTGTTGTTATACAATTAATCTGCATTTGCATTATTTCTACAATATCAATCAGTAACATTTGCATAGACACAGTTTTTCTCAAGTGTGCAAATAGTTACTTTGTCAGACCAGAGATAAGAGGGGACTGTAATAGTTTCATCCTGTTCAGCTACATCTGGGCACGCCTCCAAATCAAACACAGCTTTTGTCAAGGGTTTAAAAAGAAAAAAAAAGTTGTTAATCCTGGTTAAGTTAGAGCAGTTATTTTACTTGGCTGTTTAAGGACTGTTTTAACTTAACGCTAAGTTTACTGAAGAGGATTTACTGTTTTATCATAAACTGTATGAGTAATGAATGTTGTAAAACCAGTTCAGAGTTGAAATCACATGCATTCCATCTTTGTAAAACTAGAGGATTAGCACCTTTTATAAAATAAACAAAGGAGATACACAGTGTAACATATTATGGGATAATTATGTTACTTCAATATATGGTAATAATGGATCAGTTTTATATAACACTTTTCTGGACACTCAGAGATGCTTTAAATATTGTTATATTTGCAGCCTTAGCCATTTTATTCTTAACCATTCTTGCAGTCCTAACCCAAATGTGTGGATATACAGTAGCTAAGAACACGTGTAATATCCTCTGTCTTTTTACATATATTTCTGGTTTTCATATTCCAAAATGTGGTGATGTCATACTTCCAGATGTGGGGCAAGAACCAGTTTTTCCTGTTAATTATATTGTACTTTACCAGGAAATATCAGAAAGGTAAATTCCTGTCATCTGAAAACTCAGCAATATAAATAAAAATATACATTTATTCCACTTTTACATGGTTAATACAAAGAAAAGTTAAAAAGGAAAATAGAAATTGTCTTGCCATTGTTGTAGCTGTGACTAAAGGTTGGCAACTTGACAACAAAGTAATTTCATTGTTGGTCACAGCGCTGAATATAAACGCATTTATTGTAATTTAACAGCAGTGTTGGAGAGTAACAGATTACATGTACCTGAGTTACGTAATCAGAGTACAAATTATGAGTAACTGTATTCAGTTACAGTTACAGTTTCCATGAGTGGTAATTAGATTACAGTTACTTTGTTGAAATAAATGGATTACATGGTGGTATTTTCCAGTTTTTACATTTTGGGCTAAAACAGGACTAAACCCAGGACTAAACCAGGTCTAAACAAGAACTAAACCAAGTCTAAACCAGGTCTAAACCAGGACTAAACCAGGACTAAACCAGGTCTAAACCAGGTCTAAACCAGGTCTAAAACAGGTCTAAAACAGGACTAAAACAGGATTTAACAGGACCATGCTGTGCGGACCGTGTCTCCTCCTCTTCTATCAATAATATTTTCTAAATCGGTTAAGGAAAGTCTGGGCTTTTCATTTTCTTTTAGCAGACAAAACGTCTTATGTGAAGATTTCCTCGTCTTTTCTTCTCTACAGCAAATCAAGTAATCCAAAGTATTCAGATTACGTTACTCACTTTAAGTAATTTATTGGATTACGTTACAAACTACATTTTGGGGTGTGTACTCTGTAATCTGTAGGGGAATACATTTTAAAAGTAACCTTCCCAACACTGTTTAACAGTTATGTAGAAGAATTTAACACGTATATGTCATGTGAAACGCAGAAAACGCCGAGGTGAGGTGTGTTGTCCGCGGGAGCCGAACGGCCGAACCTGCGCTAGTCTCTCACCCTGGTACGGCTTCATCAGAGAATGCTCCCGCTTCAGGTGCTCCGCGTTCCCGTCTGTGATGTCTCCGATCACCGGCCCAAGCCAGACCTCCAGGAGAACCACCGCGGTGCACAAACAAGCCGTGAATCTCCGCATTTTGGCTTCTTTTTGTTGGAAATCCTCTCAAAACATGTCAGCTTCTTCAAACTCCGATAGAGATGGTCCGTTCACTGCAATACTCCGTGTGAATAGCAACAACAATACGATTTCTGTTCCTACTTTTGACAAAACTGGTTTGTTATTTTCACATTAATCTTCTTAATAAATCTACAAAACATCTCAAGTAAATATTGTACTACTAATGTAGATACATTATTGTCTAGAATTAATATTTGATAAGTGGGAAAATAGAAAAGTGGTCTATGTTCCACCCGAAGCTATTTTGTAAACGGAAAAAGTCGCAACAGCCAATCAGATAAAAGCACATCGCCATTTCAGCCAATGAGAACGCACTTGTAGTTGTAGAAGTCCCCACAAGATGGCGACATAAGTTCATAATACAATTTAACGAATTGTTAACGAAACAGTGAAAGACTAATTTAATTCGTTTAAATACCTCCAATATTTGAACAATGTGTCAGTTTATCTAGGATGAAATTAAATAAATATAAATCATAGCCTAATTTTATCCTAATGCAATAATCTTTGTTATCATTACATTCGGATGAAGAATATGTGGTCTACAATCATATATATTTATTATTTATTAAAAGCAGTGTTGTTTTTAGTCATGTAAAACAAAAATAATTACACAGCTCACTTCTTTTAAAGTTTTAGTATGTAACTTTCAGGTCATGATTCCATGGAATTGTGGAATTATAGATTCCACAGTATCAGAGTATAGATTATAGCCAAAGGAACTACATTTCCATGGAAACATGCAGGAGTAGGCCCTCCTCCTGGCCAAGTGAGAGCCAGGGTTGTGGAGAGGCAAGCCACTCACAGTATGTCTATGCTTTTCAGTCCATCCATAACGAAAAAAACATGCTTTTATTTTAGTACATTATCAGTCACATAGCTTCATGTTATGTCTTTACATATATTTTTTCTTTTTGTATGACCTCTATTTAATCTGTAGCCTATACATTTGTGAGTGTTATAACCCTAAATAATTTCCTGAGTTTTTTTTTAACTGCTTTACAGAAGAGAGAAGGTCAACCTCATAACTTCAGTGGGTGCTTAATGGCACTGTGATGACGCACTCAACAATTCTTTATTTTTAGTTAACCTTTTCGCTCTCAAAGACACCGCGACCGAGCAGTACAAACACCAGTGATTTTTGCCCCCACAGCATTTCTGTGTCGTTTCACATAAGGTTTTCATACGTGACGCTGTCTGAGTCAGTCCAGTGATTCAAACAGAACCTCGCCCTTCACTTATAGAGGTCACTTACAGCTCGTTTAGGCTCCAGATTGTCAAAGCCTATTTCTGATTCTTAAAAGGTTACAGACCAGAAGTAATCCAATAATTACATTTGTAAAGTAAAAATGAGGTGATAATGTTGGGATGGGCAATTTTTTATTTTTTTTTTTCCATGGGGGTCACATAAAATATTGTATACACCGAAAATATTGTGTTGGGCCAGGCCAAAATGCTTAACTTAATTTTGCTTAATATGAATTATATTTCTTTATAAAAAGCAGTAAACAGCATTGTTTTGGTGAACTGGTAAGAGTTTATGTTATGACTAATGCCGGTCGTACACTGTGTGATATTTTCGGTCGTGTCACTCAGCCCCAGCTTAAACTGTACGACCAAATCTCAGGGTTTAAAAGGTCACAGCTCACGAATCATGTTCTCACATTATATGAACCGATGCTCGGATGCGACCTGCCTGCGCACACTGTATGTTCACATAACGACCGAAGTTGTTGTTCCAGAAGTAGAAAAGCACAAAGAAGAAAACCACGGAATTAAAAACCACAGATGTGCGGATACACAATGCTGATCCAGGCAAAAAATAGATGCACTGCCTTGGCAATTTATGCCATTCTCTGCACAGACAGGCCCAAAAAGAAGAGGTGACGAATCTGGTCAAAGAAATGGCTGCGTAGACGTGGGCAGTACGGGTGGTCAGTTCTTCAGAAGGAACTGGTGGAAAGTAGTACCAAGTTTTTCAACAAACTTCTGTTCTGTGTTGCTCAATTAGCTGCGCCTCCATGTCCTGTGTCCAAAACACTCGCCGGCGCCATCGTCCTCCACAACCTCATATCCTGCTTCTTCTTCTGTGTTCACACATGCTCAGTCTGACAGATTCTGGCAAATCGATTTGTGGAACGACTTCAACAGAGCGAAACCCTCACGAAAGGCGAGTGGATTTCAAACAAGTTTGATTTTCTTGCGACCTACGAATGCAGATCGGGAGCTGGTCGTAAGGTAGAAATCAGTTTTCTTTACCCCGTTTACTACAGGAAGCACGACACACGATGAAGCCAAAACTCGGCCCAATCCCCAAAATAGTCGCACGAGTGAAAAATCTGCTCAAAAAGGGTCAAAAATCACACAGTGTACACCCGGATTAAAAAATGAAAAAGTGAGACTGATGAACAAAAAATGTCATTAGAAAAAAAAAAAAAAAAAAACACCTCTAAAATAAAAGCAATGCAGCTTTAGTCCATGCATGAGGTAAATTATAAAATCTGTTTATTTTGTAATTCCAAATGATCTTAAAGGGGCCGGTCAGAGTCAACCAAAGCGCTGTATGTGGGCTGCGAGCTGGACAATGCCCAGGTCTGTGATAATGTTTCATTTCATTTTTCATTTCATTTTTATTTGTTGTTTGTTGTTTGTCCGGAGGAGCTGGAGGAAGTGTCTGGGGTGGAGGAAGTCAGGGAGTCCTGCTTAGACTGCTGCCCTCACAACCCGGCCCTGGATAAGAGGAACAAAATGGATGGATGGATTTTTATTTGATTGAGCAACATGCCTGTACACGGTATTACAATACATAAAGAGACATGTTCATACTGTATGTTCTGTAATGACATGAAAACATGATCATTTTTGCTTGGCTTCTTGGACAAGCTTAAAGCAGACCTATTGGGGGGAGTAAGGGATTACATGTACTGGAGTTATGTAATCAGAGTACAATTTATGAGTAACTGTATTCAGTTACAGTTACAGTTACTGTTTCAGTGAGTGGTAATTGGATTACAGTTACTTTGTTGAAATAAATGGATTACAGGGCGGTATTTTCCTGTTTTCACATTTTGGGCTAAACCAGGACTAAACCAGGTCTAAACCAGGACTAAACCAGGTCTAAACCAGGTCTAAACCAGGTCTAAACCAGGGACTAAATCAGGTCTAAACCAGGACTAAACCAGGTCTAAACCAGGACTAAACCAGGTCTAAACCAGGACTAAACCAGGACTAAACCAGGTCTAAACCAGGTCTAAACCAGGTCTAAACCAGGACTAAAACCAGGACTAAAACCAGGACTAAAACCAGAACTAAAACCAGGACTAAAGCAGGTCTAAACCAGGTCTAAACCAGGACTAAACCAGGACTAAAACCAGAACTAAAACCAGGACTAAAACCAGAACCTATACCAGGACTAAACCAGGTCTAAACCAGGTCTAAACCAGGTCTAAAGCAGGTCTAAACCAGGACTAAAACCAGGACTAAAGCAGGTCTAAACCAGGTCTAAACCAGGTCTAAACCAGGACTAAAACCAGGACTAAACCAGGTCTAAACCAGGTCTAAACCAGGACTAAACCAGGACTAAAACCAGGACTAAAACCAGAACTAAAACCAGGACTAAAGCAGGTCTAAACCAGGTCTAAACCAGGACTAAACCAGGACTAAAACCAGAACTAAAACCAGGACTAAAACCAGAACCTATACCAGGATTAAACCAGGTCTAAACCAGGTCTAAACCAGGACTAAACCAGGACTAAAACCAGAACTAAAACCAGGACTAAAACCAGAACCTATACCAGGATTAAACCAGGTCTAAACCAGGTCTAAACCAGGACTAAACCAGGACTAAAACCAGAACTAAAACCAGGACTAAAACCAGAACTAAAAGCAGGACTAAAGCAGGTCTAAACCAGGTCTAAATCCAGAACTAAACTAATACAACATGACACTTAACAGTAGGTGGACATAACTGAAGGCAGCAGTGATTTCATATAAAAATCATTTCTCTATCAATAATATTTTTTATATGGTCAAATAAAGACTGAACAAACATGAATTTTCAGGATGTGGTTGATACATTCATGTAGTTTTAAAAACATGACAATATCAAGTAATCCAAAATATTCAGATTACGTTACTCACTTTAAGTAATTGAATGGATTACGTTACAAACTACATTTTGGGATATGTAATCTGTAATCTGTAGGAGAATACATTTTAAAAGTCACCTTCCCAACACTGCCTATTTATTTATTGAGACAGGGACAGCGCACAATTTTTACATTCATGTTCACAGGAGAGATGTTTGTACCAGGTTGTTGCACCAGTGCTGATTTCCACCTGTCGTCCCTGGGCAGGTTCATCCATTGTGTTTTTAATTGACCTTATTTATCAACTCTTCTTCCTGGAGACCTGTAGCATGTTTTGGGTTGATGGGGGAAAGCGCCTTGAAGGAAACCCATCCAGACACAAGGAGAAACCTGCAAACCCCACACAGAAAGGCCCATGGCGAACCTGGAACCTTCTTGCTGTGAGGCGTGAGTGCTAGACACTCAGCCACCATGCCGCCTATTATGCCATACTGACTTTTCAGAGCTCTTAACCATTTATAGTTCTTGTCCTCACCGTTTACCTTCTTGAAGTTGTATTTGGAGTGATTTGAGTATGTCTGAATAATCTTCACTTATCGCTCCCACCCAATAAACCTTCCCTCCGACTCACCTCAGCCACGAACAGATCATGTTTACAGTCATACCCATTTACTCTCATCTATCCAAACACACACATATATGCACGCACACAGACTCACACACACACACACACACACACACACACACACACCGGGATCTATACTGTTGTACGATAATGTTGATTATTGTTTCAGCTGGGTAATTGTTTATTCTTCAAAACGTCATGTTGCCGATAAACCCCCATGTTCCCTGTTCCCGGCATCAGTGTTGGGGAGTAACAGATTACATGTACCAGAGTTATGTAATCAGAGTACAAATTATGAGTAACTGTATTCAGTTACAGTTACTGTTTCAGTGAGTGGTAATTGGATTACAGTTACTTTGTTGAAATAAATGGATTACACTGAGGTATTTTCCTGTTTTCACATTTTGGGCTATTCCATTTTTTTTTTTTTTTTTTTTTTGTTGGTAATTC